TACTTGTTCACTCGAGACCACAGACATTACGGAACTAATACGTGATCGCCAGGGAATCTCACAAGTCCTGAATACGACATGCTCGTAAGACTAGTCCAGGACATCGAGGCAGAGCTCCAGGGCAAGGTCAAGCTTCACAACTTCCTCACGAGCGACCTCGGCTCCCCCCTACCACTGCACATCAGCCTGTCCCGGCCGCTGAGCCTCACGACGGCGAACAAGGACGACTTCCTGGAGAAGGCGTCCGGCGCCATCCAGACCGGCGCCGTGGCCCCCTTCGCCGTGAGCCCCCGCACCCTGGCCTGGTACAAGTCCCCAGACTCGGACCGCATCTTCCTCATCATCCGGGTCGCGAGCAGCCGGGAGGACCTGCTCGGCGGCAAGGGCGCGGGGGGCGGCGGCGCGCTGAACCCGGAGCTCGTAGCGCTGCTCAGGCGGTGCAACGGCGTGGCCTCGCAGTTCGGGCAGCCGCCGCTGTATAAGCACCATGAGGACGACGGCAGCGGCGGCGACGAGGCGGTGGGCGTGGCGTTCCACGTCTCCATCGGCTGGACGTTTGACGTCCCCGGGGAGGAGATGAGTCTGCGAGCGATCAAGGTCCTCAAGCGGAGCAAGTACGCGGGGGTGCGGAAGTGGGAGATTGACGTGTCGGCGGTCAAGGCCAAGATTGGGAACTCTGTGCATCACATTCCGTTGGGCAGGGCAGGCAAAGGCAGGATTGCCGGCCGCCCTGAGGCACCTGACTACTTCTGAGTCATCTGTATCAAGGACACCTAGGACTTGCTCAGGTGGAATTTAGTGAGCAAGGGATTAGAGCGGGATACGCTCATTGAGGCTTGGAAGTTTTTGCATCTTTTGAGCCTGGGAGGAGTGACAAAGACACGCAAGGCCAAATTGGAGGGCTCATCGTAGGGATAGTACCGGTAATGGTGAATAGAATAATGATTCAATGGTAACATGAATAAATAACTAATGTTTATTAAATTCGGCATACCCATTACGGCTTCGAAATATCTTCCTTTTGAGCCATTATTGTGGACAAGAAACATAAGGCTTCGAAGGATCCCCGGCACGATGTGGGTGAACCAATGTCTACTGCACAATACAATTTCGGGCTCTACTGCTCATTGGTCCACATTGCGTCATCGAGAAAGCCAACTGGAAACAATTAAAAGGCAAACCGCGCATAGCCAGTCATAGCCTGCGTTTGTCATGGTAAAATGGGTGCGCATGAAAGACGTTGGTTTGTGCGTCTGGGCCTGGGGTGAACGGGCGGGGTGACCGGGACCGGCCTGTCTAAGTGGGCTGCAAGAGGTATTGTACGAGCAAGCGAGCATGCTTTCGGTCAGTTGCAAAGAACTACTGGTCATACATAACGTGTCGTGTCCTCCGTTCGTGAGATAGCCAATGAAACGAGACGTATGGGCGCTACTCAGGTGTGGTTGGTGATCTGGGGTAATGGGAGGTACTTGTGTCTCACATCGAATCTTTTGAACTGAGCAAGAAGCTCGGGACCACTCTAGAACCGTTGCGGTCGAATCGAAGCTGCAGGGGACTTTCGAGAATTCGGGAGGTTGGTCTGTGGAGAGAGAGAAAGACGGTTGTCCCTGTTCACCGGTTAGAACTGCATGAGTTGACATGCGGTGCCCGGAAGAGGTCTCGTGATAGTCTAATCCAGCTGCTAGTATTAGTACCTGGCTAGACTTGTATATACTTGTCTCTCATGGGGACTATCAGGCGGCGGGGAAGAGATTAACGTCCGATTTTGAGCTCTTTTCTATTCGTTGGGGGCGCGGAGGCGGGAAAAAGCAATAAGCAACAGGTCATGATGCCGGCGACTATCACTCCGCTTCGCACCACTGATTCGTCTCTTGTGCAAGAAAACGTGACGGTGGCTGGACGCAATATCCATGTCTAGAGGCCAAAGCGAACCCGGCGACAGGGTGCTGGGTGCCCCTCCTCGAATGGCGGGAGCATGGACACAATCAAGGACAAGGCGAAGTTGGAGAGCTGCTTATTCTCGGGCCTGGTAGTTACCTGCCTCCCTCACACAATAGTGACGGAAAATAGCAAAACAATGAGAAGTGCATCTCGTGGTGAGCAGTGATTGTGTGCACAAGCAGAACCGGTTACCTGCAAGGTCAGGCCAGGCAGTGGGCACCCTTGTCCACTCTTCCCACCTTTTTGCCGTGGGCTGGGCTGGGCGGACAGCGGCTGGGCTGCGCTCTAGCAAGCAGAACCTCAAAAACACCATTCTGCCCCCTCTCTGCTCTTTCCTTCTCCCTCTCCCTCTCCCTCCTCACTTCTGCTCTCCTCGCAATCTGTGCCTTTTGAGACTTTCCGTACAAAAACTCTGCCCTGGTGATTAAATCCCCTTGCATCGCTGTCTCATACACAGCCAAGCCTCTGCACTCTTCTGCCTGCTCCCCAAAGCCCTCCAAAGGTCCCCTACACCACTAAGTAGCCCGCCTGTATTTGGGCAAGGCTGTAGCTTGCCCGAGTGGTCCCCTGGCCCAGTTCTTGGTGGTGCCCCGCCTCAACCTGCACGGCCCGTTTTCTGCCAAAACAACAAGAGCTTCACCCAGCACCACCAGAGGCGCAACTTCTCCGGCGCACACCAATTGGCCCTGTCCTCACGCACGACACACCTGCCACCGCCATGGATATCGACATGAGCCGCCGGAATAAGTCGCCTCGTCCCCTATCTGACGGGGAGCGAAAGCGCTTGGATGAATTCATCGACTCGATCCACTACTCCAACCGGTGAGTCTTTGTTTACGCCCCAACTTTCTCCCCTCGTGATGTTTTTCTCGCCTATCCCTCCTCCCTCTTCGCACTGGAAAACAAGCTGACGGTTCGAATGCTCGAGCAGATACAACGATAGTTACTTTGAATACCGACACGTACAGCTCCCCAAGGCTATGCTCAAAGTCATTCCCAAAGACTATCACGACGAGAACAAGGGAACCCTGAAGCTGTTATGGGAGGAAGAGTGGCGAGCACTGGGCATCACGCAGGTAAGTTCGCCCACCAACTGGTCTCACGAGTGCGCGGTGTGCGCCTCGCAACCCTTTTTGTTGATTTGTTTCTAACTGAACATGCAGAGCCTGGGATGGGAACACTACGAGGTCCATGAGCCGGAGCCTCACATCCTCCTCTTCAAGTAAGCCTTCTTTCTTGATTCAACTTTTGCGAGATAATTCTCCAAGTCTAACACATAACCCCCTCTTTCCAGGCGCCCTATCAACTACCAGCCCCCTACTCAGTGAGCCAAGATCCATGGCCTTTCCTTGTTTTAATAACTCGCCAATCGATCCCTTACGCCGCGACGGTCCCACTACCTTTCCTTGACGATTTTACGGTCTGATACGCTTTGATGAAATAATTGGCCGGCACGACTATACTGTCGAAACTGCCTACTGGTTGAATTGGAAACAAAATACTTCTGTGACCCCTTTGGCCTTGACTGATCTGGACAGTTGGGGGGTGGGCGTGAAGGATTGATTTTGTCACATCAGGCAACCACGGGAAGGCTGGCAGGCTTTTACTTATTTTGCAGTTCTACCACTCATGTGTTTTCTTCCTCGCTTGTCTCCTTTCCTGCCGTCTGTGTCTCCCTCGAGTAGAACCCTCCATAGCCCTGCCTTGTATTTCTTTTCTGGGACTCTCAAGCTTTCTAATAAGACTGTTGTGCCATGCATCGCAGCTGGATGCTGAGTTTATTTCATGGAAATCTTGTTTGGAGTTGGTAGACGAGGACTAGACCCATCTAAATAAACCGAGAAAGTTTAGTTTGCTGAAATCCACCCTTTGCTAGTGATCATGACTATGCTGCCCATCCGTGAATGTAAATGCAGTTCGATGATTTTCCGTCACGAGTCAAGCTTATCGGTCCTTATCAGGAAGCCCCAACTAAACCGCCACTACTGTTTTTTTTCTCCGTTGAACGAGCCACACTAACCAGTTCGCAGTCGGAAGTGCCCCGCCACCCACGTACAAGACAGACAACTACTGACACCTACTGCATCGTATTATCGCCTTGACTAACGCTCAATTACGTACTGGGCTAGCAGGCAGAGAGGGTACAAACGTGGCCGAACTGCCTGGAGACGAGTCATTGGCGGACGGAGGCGTCGGAACAGGGATGCATTCTACTGAGGACAGCCACTTACAGCGTCAACCCGCTGTATCCGTAGACTTGGGCGCAACGAGAAGCCTCCACGGCTTGGGGGATGTAATGGCAAGACGGTTCAAGCCAGTGACATAGGTATGACAAGGGGACCTCTCAATATAGACGGTGTAGGGAACACAAGAACGCGCGATCTTTACATTCCTAATGGAGCATGTGCGCTCCAGCCGCAAAAAGAGGCGGCAAGGGGCTGGGCGATCATGGAGCGAGAATGGATGAAGTAGGTGGTACCATGTACGGATACGCATGACCATTCGTTCGGACACAGGTACTTCTAATCTTCCTTACTCGGCAGTGCACCTAGCCCGGCCGGCTTTTGCTGACTTGTTGGTAGCCAACTAGGTATCTTAGCAGAGATTCCAATTACCAATCCAAGGGTCGGAGGTGTAGAGCTACATCAGGCCACATTGGCCTAAAAGGGTATCATGGAATTGAAAATCGTCCGCCCTGGCCCGTCACATCTGGTGTTGGGGAATCCGCCAGCGTGTCTTCTTTGTTTCACGGTTTGTTAAAAATTGCCCGGGCCTGTCCAGGACAACTGCAACTTCATTCGCTTCATTCCTCGTTCCCCGAGTCTCTGTTTGCTAGAGACCTTCTCCTTCGTTTTACTACCACGTTCTGCAGGAGCGGACAGGGGACCAAGTCAGTGCACCTTGCGCCTGCACCAGACAGTACCTGGAGCTTATTTATAGTGCATTTCTGGAAGTACCTCCACCGCATCGTTACTTACACGTGGGCTACATCTTGTCCTCCAACAGCCAGGCTGAAATTTCTCGGTTTCAACCTGGAAACAATTCACCAAATATTCACCATGAAGTCGGCAGGCCGGTTATTCTACTTGTCGCTGTTTGCCCTTTGGGCGCCTGCTGCCATATGCTCCGAGGAGGAAGATTGTGCGGTAAGTAGTAGCTTGCGCCGGAGGACCCAGAGAAGCGCTCGCTTCTAACTTTGTTTCTACAGATTTCTCCCAAAGCGATTGTCCAAGATGCATGTGCATCCTACGCTACCCTCGACCGCTTGAATGCGCAGGTCAAGCCAGCCCTCGACGACCTGACGCGAACCACCGACTTCTTCTCCCACTACCGACTCAATCTCTTCAACAAGGCGTGTCCCTTCTGGAATGATGAGGGTGGCATGTGCGCCAACATTGGATGCGCCGTTGAGACGCTCGATAACGAGGAGGATATCCCCGAGGTCTGGAGGGCCGCCGAGCTGGGAAAGCTGGAGGGCCCCAGAGCAAAGCACCTGGGCCAGAGTGCCAGGAAGAGGCACCCTGAGAAGCCTCTCCTAGGAGAGCTGGGTGGAGGTGTCAGCGAGGGCTGCGTGTTCGAGTACGACGATGAATGCGACGAGCGAGATTACTGCGTTCCCGAAGACGAGAGCGCCGGCTCCAAGGGCGACTATGTCAGTCTCCTCCGAAACCCAGAGCGATTCACTGGCTACGGTGGCATGGGATCCAGGCAGGTCTGGGATGCCATCTACCGCGAGAACTGCTTCCAGCGCAGCTCCTTCCCCCACACCGCCAACTTGGGCTCCTCCTCCCCGAAGAACCTCGCGCAGCAGGACTTTAAGCAAGTCCTGGACGCCGCTGCTCGACAGCTCTCAAACGACAAGCTCGAAGTCCCCAGCGGCGATGTTGAGACCAACGACGAGTGCCTGGAGAAGCGTGTGTTCTACCGCGTCGTGTCCGGAATGCACGCCAGTATCAGCACCCATCTGTGCTGGGACTTCCTGAACCAGACAACCGGCGAATGGCACCCCAATCTGTCATGCTACGCCGCCCGTCTTCACCCATTCCCAGACCGCATCAGTAACCTCTACTTCAACTACGCTCTTCTTACACGCGCGGTCGCCAAACTTGGTCCTTACCTAAAGGACTACACCTTCTGCACTGGCGACGAGGTTGAAGACATTGCGACCCGCAACAAGGTCCTCGAGGTCACCGACCGCGCCGCCACCGTCCCCCAGATCTTCGACGAGGGCCTCATGTTTGTTAACGGCGAGGGGCCGTCGCTGAAGGAGGACTTCCGCAACCGGTTTCGCAACGTCAGCCGTATTATGGATTGTGTTGGCTGCGACAAGTGCCGGCTCTGGGGCAAGATCCAGACCTCGGGCTACGGGACGGCCCTCAAGGTCCTGTTCGAGTTTGACAACGCCGAGGACCTCCCCGTGCTGAAGCGCACCGAGCTCGTCGCACTGTTCAATACCCATGCTCGGCTGAGCTCTTCTCTGAACGCGCTCGCCAAATTCCGCGACATGTTGCAGGAGAGCAAGAAGGAGCAGGAATCTGATGAGACCAAGAAGGAACCTGAGCCAAAACCTGAGGAGAGTAAAAAGGAGCCTGAATCTGAGGAGAGCAAAAAGGAACCTAAACTTGAGGAGAGCGAAAAAGAACATGAACCTGAGGAGAGGAAAAAGGAACCTGAACCTAAGGAAAGCAAAAAGGAGCCAAAACCTAAGGAGTCAGTGGCAGCCACTCCTAATGAAATGAAGGAGGAGAAAACTATGAGTAGCGAATCCACCTCTCCGAAAAAGAAAGAGCCCTTGCGGCCTCCGACCATCACAGAACAATTCAAGCAAGAGTTTGGATTGGTCTGGGACGCGGTCGCACTGGTTACAGGAAGCTGGTGGAGAGCGCCTGCGGCATTGTGAGTTATCCCTCATTCTCTTACCCATAATTTAGAATGCCTTTCCCTTCTTGCCTTGCCTCGAAATGTAGCTGACTAATAACCGCAGATTTCACATCTTCTCCTCCGAAACCAAGAGGTTCGTTCGATTTTGGATTGGACTCCCTGTACCCGATCGGGATTGGTCATTCGAATGGCCCAGTCTCCAGCGAGATGAGCTATAGGCTTCGAAAGAGCGAGAGGTTTTTACTGCATTCTAGATCATTCTTGCATGGGGCAAGGCATTTAGCGGACGGGAACTAGCATTTCATACGGGCGTTATTCTAGGGATCATCCCTTTTTGATTATTATTTTTCTTTCTTTCCTTTTTCTCCCCCTATAGAGCATGGGCACAAGGAATTGTATTATGTTGTCAATACTGAAACCAACAAGAAACTGATACCATTTGAGTCTTCTGTGTATTCAGGGGTCCAGGGCTTGACTAACATGACTGAAACATGAACTGTTGATCACGCAAGTGGCTGGCCTAGACGACCGTTGGGGCTTGGAGGGCCGAATTGATGTCTGGGATAGTGGGAGGTTTGACCCAGACAGTGTGAGAGTTCAGGGACGTCTTCTGACGTCAGTTGATGCATAGGGCAAGTATGGAATTGGGGGCCTGCATGAACTACGGCCGTTCGCGGTGCAAGCATTTGGACGAAAGGCTGCATTCTTGGGCCGTGCACGAGTGGTGAAGAAACTTGAGACGATAGGGCTGTGACTGCCATGCAGAGTGAGTCAACAGAATATAGAATGGCAATCATTTCCAAAGAGCAGCCGATCCAAAAACCCAGCATCGCATCTCGAAGCTGGCAGCATTAGCAGAGAGGTGTCACGCATACACACGTGACTGCGCAGCACAAAGCTGAATGATGCTGCTGGTGGGCATCTGTGGGGGTGTGCTGGGGTGCTGTGGTGGTGGTGGTGGGGGTGCCTCCAGCTCCAGGCTCCAGGCTCCCACAGCTCCTCATACAGCGGGCCAGCTGGCGATAGCGATTAGGCCAAGGGAGCCTCTACCTACCTTAGCTATAGCTCGATCGATATCTATCCCACCTTCACCAAGATCTACTCTTCCCCAGCATCCGGTCCATGGCCATCTGAGCTTGCCCCAAATGGCGCCCTGGGCCCTGCCGTCTCCCGGAAACAATGTATAACCGCGACTCCAAGATCATGCGCAAGCTGCTTGGCAAGTCGGCGCCCGACACCTCGTCCGGCGAGCACTCGTCCCTCGTCGGCAACCACAGCTCCTCCTCCATCCCCGCGACCTTCCGCCCCTCCAAGTCGCAGGACTCGGTCTACGTCGCCGGCGTCCCCATCTCGTGCCTCGATGTCTCGCCCGACCGGCGCGCCGTCGCCCTCGGCGGGCCTCACATCCTCAAGACCATCGTCCACGAGGACCACCCGACCAACTTCGGCTTCCGCTTCGGCGACGGCGTCGACCTGCGCGCCGCCATCACCGCGCAGCCCGCCACGGGCGTCAAGGCCAACGCGACGCCCGACCAGCTCAACATCCGCGACGTCAGGTGGCACGGGGGCTCCACCATCTTCACGGCGTGCGCCAACGGGCGCATCTTCGCCTACGATTTGGCGCGCATCGGGGCAGGCGGCTCCTCGGAGCCGCTCGAGTACATCCACATGCAGGAGGACTCGCGCCAGGTGAATACCCTGGATGTGAACCCTCACTTGAACAGCTGGCTGCTGTCGGGCAGTCAGGACGGCCTAGCGCGGGTCTTTGATACCGCCAATGCGATCCACACGCGGTCCGGTGTCTTGACCTTCCGCCAGCGGTTTGCGGCTCTGCGCTGTATCGATTCTATCAGGCAGGTCAAGTGGTCACCGAGGGTTGGGCATGAGATGGCGTGCTGCACTGATAGTGGTGTGGTCATCAAGTGGGATGTGAGGTCGCCATCAAGGCCGCTGCTGAGGATCAACGCCCACGAGAAGGCCTGCACGGGTATCTCGTGGCACCCGGACGGCATCCACCTCATCACTTCTGGCTCGGATTGCAAACTGCACGTGTGGGACATGGGGAGTACCGCCGACCGAAGACAGAAGCCGAAATGGACGATTTCCACGCCGGCTCCTGTGTCCGCCGTGGCATGGAGACCTGGATTATGGTCGGCTACAGCACGGAGCCGGAGAGCAGCCCAGGTTGCAGTCGCTTATGACGAGAACAGCACACGACGATATGGTACGTCTGTGGTTCATATCTGGGACCTGGCTCGGCCGACGCTGCCATATAAAGAGATTGAGCGCTTTGACAGCTCGCCGGCCGCACTGTCCTGGCAGGATCAGGATATGCTCTGGACGGTTGGGCAGGATGGGTTATTCAACCAATGTGACGTCGCACATGCGCCCCGGACCTTGGACCGGCGACCTACTTCTGCCATGGCGTTTTCTTCCAAGGGGGATGTGCTGATGTTTCTGGACGAGCGCGCTCAGCAGCACAGGCCCCGACGGTCATCGGTGCTGAATGCTTCCGACGTGATACCACGTAGCTCGTTCGACTCGAGCCCTCGGATGCCGATGCTCAGTGTGAGTCGAAGCGACTCCGAAGAGGATGTTCTGGGAAGCTTCATCAGTCCACGGCGAGGAGTGCGAAAGAGACGGTCGATAGCTAGAACCACGAACTCGCTGAGCACCACGCCACCGTCGAGTATGGAGGATACGAAGCTTGTCCTCGGACTTGAGCAGGCAATAAAGACTACGGGCACCTTCAAGTCTCAACAGGCCATGGCCTCTGGCCATCTACCAGCGGCCAAGACGTCCTCGAGTTACCAATATCTGGCCAGTATATATCTGGAAACGCTGGAGAAAGAGCTTCCTTACAAGGAGGATGGCAAGCCCATGGTTGACAGGGTGGCTAATATTATGGAGAGGTATGCTGAAGCTGCTGAGGCTGCCAGTCTGTTCAGACTTGCGCAGACATGGAGAGTTCTCGCTTTTGCCGTGTCTCTGCTTCTCAAGCGCCGGGCACAGTACCATCTGGAACTCCGACTCTCACAGTTTCAGAAGTTGAAGCTGGAGGTCCCCAGGGCGTCAAAAGGAAGGAGATCTGGTGACGCGACGCCCAGGCGACCATCAGCCGTGACCAATGGTGGTGCTGACAGCCGCTTGTTGGGCCGCTCTCTCCTCTCGGATGAGATTCAGGAGAGCACATCCAATGTCCCGACACCAATAGCAAGGCCGGTCGACCACCAAGGGGCGGACAGCAATGGCCAAAATTTCCAGTACGGAAAGCGATTGACTCCCATCGTTGAGCCAGACTCGTTCACCATTGGCCCCGCCGCACATGAAGAATACATGCGCCGCTCTAGCACCCCGCGACGCCGTCTAGATTCTGTCCCCATATCTTTGACCAGCGAGGAAAGCGAGGTTTCACACACAGAGGGGTATGATTTCTACGATACGGACGCGTTATCGCAAGCAATTGATGTCCCTTCACCCAAGACGAGCCAGGACTGGATTGCCCGAAAAACAAAGGAGCAGTCCAGGCCGACGGCCAAGATTTCAAGACAAAACTCGGATGAGAGCTATGGCCAGCTGTTTTCGATATCTGAAACAGGCCAGCTCTCCAGGCGAAGCTCCGGGCCCGCCGGTGGACTTGCGAAATCCAACCTATCACACTCAGAGTCTATAAAAACTAAAACTAGCGATGGAAGCAGCGTTGAGTATGGTAGCCGAATTCGAGGCGATCATCTGCGTCGAGATTCTCCGGAAAAGGGGCAACCACGAAAGCAATCCAAGGCTGACTCGCCAGAGGAAGTCTTCATGATATCTCAGACAACACTCGCGACTGATGACGACACGTACCCATCGCAGACATCTTTCCCCTCTCAGGACTCAGAGAATTATAGTCAGTCGGTGGATGGTGACATTAAATTCCCCTCGCCCAGACCTGAAGCACGTAATCCAGCTCTTTCGAGGAGGCCGTCCTGGGACTACCAGTATGACCCACGATCACAAATTCTTGAAAGCGATTACATCCCGTGGGAGGACGACCCGCCATATCCCCACCCTCTACTTGCATCTACCTCAAAGCCGTCGTCCTCAGTGCCTGCTCTGGACCCGTATGCTCTCATCACCCGAGCCCTGAATTTCGAATCCAAGTCGACCGCTCTTAACGCTTCGGCCATAATACTACTTCTCAAGCCACTTGTCCCAGACTCCATCATCGAGACCCCCCATGCCAGAGCTATACTACGCCAGCATCACTCCCGCTTGATGGGGATGGGCCTCTTCGTCGAGGCTGCTTTGCTTCGAAACCTCTGCATCCAGGGCTGGCCCGAGGGACTCCCATACTGGGGCGAAAGCTACACAGCAATCTTCGCCCCCGGTCAGGACTCCGTCAAAGTCAGCCTCGCGTGCTCCTCGTGCGGCCGCCCACGCGAGATCGACCCCCTCGACAGCTCCGCCAGTGTCTGGACCTGCGAGAGGTGCAAATCCGTCATGGCCCCCTGCGCCGTCTGCGGCCATCGCGAGCCCGAGCTCGCAGCCCACGACCCCATCGAGGAGGCAGCCGCGCACCCCGAGATGCTCTCCCTCTCCGAGTGGTTCTACTGTCCCGGGTGCGCCCACGGCGGCCACGCATCGTGTATCCAGACCTGGCACTCCGTCATGCCTTCCGACCCCACTGCTAAGTACAGTGGGGGATGCTGCCCCATGGACGGATGCGGCCACGCCTGCCTCCCGGGAAAGTACCGCGGCGAGATGGCCACCGCGCGCGCGGACGAGCTCGCCCGCATGACGGTGGAACGCTCCCGCTCGAGGACGTCGAGCCCCCAGTCCCGCGGCGCCGGGGTGGTGAGGAGCGACCGCGACGACGTGCCGCAGAGCAAGGCTGTGGGGATGGCGCGGGAGGCGCTGAGCAAGGGCTCGGCCGGCAGCGGCGGCGGGATCCTCAGCTCGAGTCCGGGGAGGATGATTGGGGAGAGGGAACGGAGGAAGAGCGTCAAGTTTGCTGGCACGGATCGATGAAGCATGAGGGCAGGGTTTTTTTTTTATTACACGATTTATATCCCTTTTTGGTTGTTTTCCGGCGTTTTTCTGGAGTGGCATATACGGGCTGCTCCTTTTTCCTAATGAGATTCACGTAGTCCTTTTCTCGGGCAGTGGTGTACATTACTCGTCTTTGGGCTTGGAAAGGGTTCACTCACTGTATGTGGGTTTGGATATATTGTATTAAATCAGACGCTCTGCTATGCTAGAGATAATTACGCTAATTCACAACCCCCCCGCGCTCATATGACAAAACTACATGCAAGTGATCAAGATTTAATTTCGACCGTAACTGGGCAGAATCTATTTCACGCGACATTCTCCCTCAGCCCCTTTGTCCGCAGCGTGAAAGTGACATCGCTCTCCGCGAACGGGAGCGCGAGCCCCTCCACGCTACCCCCGTTCTCCTTGACGGGGCTATGCAGCACATCACCGTGGGGATGAAGGGTAGCTTGGCTGTCTGTGCTTCCCCTCCGACTGCTCTCGCCATCGACGGACGTGGGCGCAAGGGAGTTTCTGCTCATGAGGCGACCGAGCCACAGACCCCTCACGCCGCCCTTTTTGCGCTCGGGGACGTCCTCGGAGCCGGCGCTGCAAACGTATAAAAGGTATTTTAAGTTGGGGAGGGAGTGGCGTATGTCCACCACCTTGAGGCCTTGGGAAGCGCAGAGCGCCTCAATGTCCTTGTTGAGGAGGAACCAGGCGTATTCGAAGCGCCACTGACCGGTTGTGGAACCACCCCGGGGAAGGTAGAGTGGGAAATCGCGGGTGGTAGATTTTGAATCGGGGAGATGGGATATGTCGTCGCGAGTGGAGGAGCGGGAACCATATGGGTAGAGAGGGTAGGGGATGTGATGTGATAGATAGAACTGGAGGTGTTTTGTGAGGAGGGTAACGAGGCCAAGACCGGCGGATAGCGTATCCTCGCTAATGGTACGGGCTATCGCCGCGTCGTAGACTGAATTCGGTAGAGGTATATTGCAGATCTGGAATGATAGGGGCGGCGCGTTGGGGATGGGGGTGATGGGGAATATCTCTGACAACTCGGAGCAGATGCGACGGCGCTGCCCATGGATCTGCCGCTCAGTTTGCTCGACAAGCTGCTTGGATGCCTCCAGCTGCTGGCGGTTGTTGGCAATGTCCTCCTCCGCCTCGGCCTGCTGCTCTCTTCCCTTCGCAATTGCCGCTCGGCGGTTGGCGAGCGACTCTCTAAGTTCGTCTCGTTTACGCCGGGCGATGGCGTTGGCCCGTTGCTGGGCTGAGACATAGGCGTTTGCGACTTTTACATCCTCTTGCGCCATGTCGGATGAATCAGGGGGGTCCTCTTGCAGAATGTTATTGATCTGGTGCATGATGTGCTTTTGTGTCTCGATCGCATCCTCAATTGAGCTCTCCAAGTTGGCGAGCTTCATCAGCGCATTATACGACGAGGTCGGGATGGACGGGATCTGTTTAGGGTCGGATATCTTGTTCGGGAAGTCGAACGAGTACACGCCATCTTCAAGGTGGAAGACCAATGCATTCGGAGGGTATCGTCTATCGAGGAGGGTTCCAATAAAGTTGAGCTGGCGCAAGTCAATAATCTCCTCCAACAAAAAGCTCCACGCATCTTTAGGTCGCTTCGCCCAGAGTCGGATCGTGAGCCGATGGGTGCGGGATATGGATGGTTGGCGGTTCGACAAATCGAAGAATTGGAAGTCGAAGTTCTAGTCAAAATCGTCAGAGCCCGTCCAAACAGAAACAAGGGATTGCGCGCCATACCGCCGACCTCTCGCACACTTCGCTGATGTACACCGGGTCCTCGACATCGGTCACATGCAGCGTGAAGAAGACATCGCCAACCGCGGCTTCCACGAGCTCCTCGAGTTTCTTCTGTCTCGATTGCAGGTTCAGCTGCGTCGAGCCGAGACTCAAGCTGGTCCTACGAGCTTTGGGCGGCCTCAGGACATCGGACGAAGAGGACCTCAGCGCGTCCGGCCTAAGGTGCTCCGAGGACCGCGAGTGGACCAGGGAGCCGGCTTCGTGGAGGGCCTCGAGCTTCGCGCGGTGCGGGCTGCGGCCGATGACGGCATCGTCGGTGGTTTGGCGATGCGCGGGAGCGAAGCAGAGGTTGCGCAGCGACAGACCCTTCAGATGTCGGAGCTTGCGGTTCTGGGGCAGGAGGCGTGGCCGGCGAGGTTCGGACAGGGTAGACATGGCGAGGGCATCATGGGGCTACTTGGTGTCACAGCATTGGCGTGATGAGCTGCTGCATGTGCAGATGCAATGCGGGTTCGCGCGGGACGTAGTATCAGTCAGTCTGCCAGCATGTTTTGTCGTCATTTCAAGCTCGATGCTCGGCTACTGCGATACGATTTGGCGATGTCCTTGATCTGGCAGGAGATATGCATATAAGGGGGTATGTCTCTATCGAGACTACCTAGCCACCATGAACCGAACTCTGTTGACAGCACTGGAACGTGCCCCTACTCATTCAACTAGGAGGTCATTGAAAGCGGTGGTAACTACTATTGCTTTGAGTAAGAATACCGATTCATCTCGATTCGATTCACCTGCGCTTTTTGCTGCTGCCTAAGTTCCTCCCGGTACTGATACACACTTGTCGCATACAAGCGTCGCTCACCGACCCAACCAGAGGGTTCTGTACCCTGGCTTCAGTGCCCAATCCTCAGAACATTAGGCCCCTGATACGGGAAAGAAGCTTTGCTATTAGCTTTCTCTGCTACTTTATTGTAATTGAGTTTCAAGCAGCTTCCATCATCCTTTGACACGGTCACGACTGCTCGATTTCCGTTGCTAAGTAGTCACAAGTCGAAGACATATTAGTGTTGCAGGGAAATTGCCTATGATATGCTAACTAGCAGTTGAGAATCTGCGAGTATTGGTTTTTGTACGACAAACGATGAGTTTGGAGACAGTCACTAATCACGAGTAGGTAAAGACACAATATTGAGAACGAGCGAACTATTTATTAACAATGAGTGAAAGTACAAAAATGTCAAAACGGCTTCGTATCAAGCGTTTGGACCAATTTAATAAAGGTGAAAACGAAGGGAAAGAAAAAGAACCGCCTTCAGCTATGAAGTAAGGACAGAGAAAAGAATGCATTCATGCTTCACGTGTCATCTACACATCTCCCAGTATATACCTCCAACCCCTTGGTGCGTATCGCCGGGCTAGGCCAGGGCGACAAGGGTCAAGTGACTCCCATTTCATGATCAAGGTAGCATGACCTTACTTGCGGAGGAAGACAACGTGCTTGGCGTTATCGACGAGCTCAGTGTCGGCCAAAGACTCGTCCTTGCCGCGAACAAGGAAAGCGCAGTTGTTGCCATCCACAGCGGAGGAGTTGAAGTCAATGGCGGCACAGACCTTGATGTTGGCAGCACTGACGGCCCCGGGGTTGGCGGCAATGGTGGCACGAGCAGCAGTGGCAGAGCATAGGGACAAGCAGTGGTTGACGTCCTTGGCCTTGACCCTAACGGCAGAGGCACGGTCCTTGATGGCCTTCTTGCAGATGGGCTCGTAGTGGTCGAGGTTGCCGCTGTTTCCACCGGGGGTAGGCTGGTTTCCACCGGGAGTAGGCTGGTTGCCACCTGGAGTAGGCTGGTTTCCACCGGTAGTAGGCTGGTCCTTGGAGGGGCGGTTCTTGGTTAGGATGTCAACGTCGATGGTAGACTGCTGCTCGTCCTTGTAGCCACCAACGTCGACATCAAGGAGTCCCTTGTCACCACCGTCACGGCGGTCGTGGGTAGCAACATCGATGTCAATCAAGTCCTGCTCCTCGTCCTTCTTGCCACCAACCTGGATGCCGAGCAGACCCTGAGAATCGAGCAGTTGCCTGGGGTGCTGGCGGGTGGAGAGTGTGCTACGGCGCTCGTGGGTAAGAACGTCGATGTCGATGGTAGCCTGTTCCTTGTCCTTCGTGCCGAGAACGTCAATGTCGAGCAATGATGGGTTCCTGGAAGGGTTGCTTCCAGGGTTGCTGCCAGGGTTCGTCGAAGGGTTCGTCGAAGGATAGGTGGATGGATTGGTGGATGGGATGGTAGGTTGGCTGTTCTGAGGCCAGTCCTGTCCGTCGTGGCAGGTAGATCCACAGTTACGGCGATCGTGAGTGAGGACATCAATATCAATCGCAGCGTTCTTGTCGTCCTTCTTACCACCAACATCAATATCAAGCAGACCATCGTATTCATGGTCGTGGCGACGATCGTGGGTAAGGACATCAATATCAATGGCGGCGTTCTTGTCATCCTTCTGTCCACCAACATCGATATCAAGGAGGCCATCATATTCATCGTGGCGACGATCGTGTGTAAGGACATCAATATCAATGGCGGCATTCTTGTCGTCTTTCTTTCCACCGACATCAATGTCAAGGAGGCCATCGTAATGATCATCGTAGTCGTGGCGCTTACGGAGGTTTAGATCAAGGATGCTTCCATCCTTGCCCAAGCTAAGCTTGGCAAGACCGTTCTTGCCTCCGAGACCAAGGTTAAGGAGGCCATTCTCACCACCCAGGTTCAGGCCAAGGATTTCATCTTCATTGAGAAGTCCCAAGCTGAGCAGAGGGTCAACGCCGACGGGCTTCTTGTCGACTTCGAGTTTGTCATCCTTTGGCAGAGCACCTGTGATCTTGAGGTACTTCTCAAGTTCCTCCTCGGTGAGGAGATCAAGGAGAACGAGGATGTCGAGATCGAGGGCAACGAGGGGCTTCTCGCAGACCTGATCGGGGACTTCGAAGCAGGTGTTCGTGGGGCACTGGCCAGGGTTGCCGGTGTTGGGGTTGCCATTGTTGCCGCCCTGGTTAGGATCGGGCTTGTTACCACCGTCTCCTGGCTTGGGGTTCCCGCCATTGCCGTTGTCACCGGGCTTAGGGTTGCCATTGTTGCCGCCCTGGTTAGGATCGGGCTTGTCACCACCGTTCCCTGGGTTGGGGTTGCCTCCGTTGTTACCACCGTTGTTTCCAGGGTTGGGGTTTCCGTTGTTGCCTCCGTTGTTACCGCCGTTGTTTCCTGGGTTGGGATTACCACCATTGCCGTTGTTACCGGGGTTTGGGTTGCCGCCGTTGTTACCACCGTTGTTCCCAGGGTTGGGGTTTCCGTTGTTTCCTCCGTTGTTACCGCCGTTGTTGCCCGGGTTGGGGTTTCCGCCGTTGTTACCACCATTGTTGCCCGGGTTAGGATTGCCGCTGTTACCCCCGTTGTTACCGCCGTTGTTTCCTGGGTTGGGGTTACCGCCGTTGCCGTTGTTTCCCGGGTTGGGGTTTCCGCCGTTGTTACCACCATTGTTGCCCGGGTTAGGATTGCCGTTGTTACCCCCGTTGTTACCGCCATTGTTGCCGTTGTCACCGGGGTTGGGGTTGCCGCCGTTGTTACCACCGTTGTTTCCCGGGTTGGGGTTACCGTTGTTGCTTCCGTTGTTACCACCATTGTTTCCTGGGTTGGGGTTGTTGGTGTTGCCGTTCTGGTTGGGGTCCGGCTTGTTGTCACCTGGGTTGGGATTGCCGCCGTTGTTACCGCCGTTGTTTCCAGGATTGGGGTTGCCGTTGTTACCGCCGTTGTTTCCAGGATTGGGGTTGCCGTTGTTACCGCCGTTGTTGCCCGGGTTGGGGTTGCCGCCGTTGTTTCCAGGGTTGGGGTTGCCGCCATTGTTTCCGTTATTTCCACCCTGATCAAGTTAGCCGACGGATTCACTGTTAGCCATATGGATGCTTTCAACTCACTGTGGTGGGGGTGATGCAGATGTGGCCGTCTTCCTTGACGTTCACGACCTTGGGCTTGTCGGCCTTGATGTTGATGTTGGGGCAGACGCTCAGGTCGATGAGGGCGGAGATGTCGAGGAAACATCCGCTCTCCTGAGCAAGGACTTGCAGTTGAGTGACGAGACTGGCCATTATGAACAAGATTGAGCCGAATCAAAGACAAGAAATTAATGCAAAAATGTGCAGAAAACTCAAAGTATTAGACAGTTGTGAGCAGGATATACTAAAGAATGAATGAATGATTGACTAGATGAAGGAAGGTGTTGTTGCGATGATGAGAACTGGACTATTGGGACCGCGATCTCATCCCTTCTTATACCTGAAGGGAACCTGATCTCGCTCGAGATGCCACCGCCATCCTGCCTCGACCGGCGCGATGCTCTGAGACCTCTGAGATGAGAGCCAAGCAGGGTTGTGACCTAGATTGGAGCCTGTCGTGGCCGGCAAGCTGAGGATGTCGCAGTTCGACCAGGCGGTATAGAGGTTGGGAGATTTGACTGTGGCGACATCACGAGGCGGGGCCAATGAGCCACAGGTGACTGTGAGAAAGCGAATCAGATGTCCTATTTGGTGATTGGCGGCGGCGGACGGTTGTCTCACGAAGGTAGAACACGGCACATAGCGGGAAGTCCTCGTCACCAACTGGGGCATCAGAAGGTGAGGCGGCCATTGTCACAATGGCAAGTACGTAATTGTACTTGGCCTCAAGAGAAGTCACTCATCAGACTGCGAGCGATGTATGTGTGTACGGAGGCGGCTTCAGCATCATACAAGTTTGGCATATGGGCATCTATAGCACAAGGTTGGCCAATACGACGAATAAACAACCTCATTTTCAAGCGTATGCAAGCCAATCTCTATTTTTGCTTTTCCGTGCCGCCATCCGAAGTCGATTGGCTCAACAAGCATCCCTTTTCCTCGTTAGTGGACGCCATCTGTCAGATCCCCCGCCAAGGCATCGCTCGTGCCTCCAGGCTAAGCAGAGAAGGCAAGGCTCATGCGCAAGCCTGCCCCTCTCTGTCAAACGTCACGGCTTCTTAGAGGGGCGGGAGGAGGATCTCCGTCTCAGACCTGCGTCCGTCTATTCCTGTTCCTGTCCTCTTTAGCTGTGCGGCCCCCCGCCGGCAGATCGGTTGAGACAGGAGGGAGATGAGAGGTCGTCTTTCCCCCGAGATCAGGCCTGCGATGGCTGCAGTTTCCACCAAGGCGATTGGCTGAGCTCAGCGGCGACGGATTCATCCGGATAATCAGCTTCTCCACCTGGACAGAACTTTTCCAAGACATGCATAGGCAGGCAGAAGGTGGCTGACAAAGGCCCGTTCAGAGAACAGACCCAACCCAACAATGGTGCAACATTGGTCTTGGCTCTGTCGCCTCAATCTGTCGTTTTCAGAGACGATGAGAAAATCTAAAAGTTTAGTCAGGAGAGAACAACAAAGAATACGTCAAGAATCAGTCCGTGTCACAATACGACGTCAGTGGAGATGGTGAGCCAACTGAGACCGACTTCTCTCGGCACATGCACGCTCGAGCCTCGTGGTTCCAAAATTCTGCTTCCTCATAATTGCGATAGGCATATGGATACGGCAATTTTATGCAGGTTCCCTGCGTCTAGCTCCCAACCCCCCAAAGACACAAACGACAAGTAGGAGATGGCGATCATTTCAAAATGAGACCCAACTCCCAGACAAAATGCGCTGCCATAATGTAAACACAGGTATAATATCGGATTTTGCATCCGTGTCTCTCTATCCCTCTAACAACCTCTCCTTATTCTCAATCTCATGACTGCTGACTTTCAGGGGCGGCCGAAAAAGGAGAAAGGCTTTTCCTATTGTTCTCTTCCTCACGCCTCCTCCGAACTCACTCTGGGATTTCTTAGTTTGTTGGTTCCAGCCGTTTTCTTCAGCAGGTTCTCTAGAGGCAGAAAGAGTTTCTCGCCATTCATCTGGCGCTTCTCGAGTCCTTCCCGAGTCACCCACCTCCATTCTGCACACTTGTCGGGCTCTGTGACCCGCGGCACGGCATCCGCCTCAATCATCTCGCAGGCGACATGGTGCGTGGTGTAGTGCTTAACTGGGTCCTCGTTCTTAAAGATGTCGTTGGTACATTCAATCTCTCCGAGGGCCTTGACGTTGAGGCCGGTCTCCTCAGTGGCCTCTCTGACGGCGCCGTCCGCGACCTCCTCTCCTACGTCTAAGTGGCCGCCTGGCAATTGCCATGAATCTGATGTGATTTCCAAAGTCAGCGTATACTCTAATATTTTGGTGATAAAAAAGGGGTGGTTTATTAACGAAGGCGGGCATTCATAAACAGCATAAAGACCTCCTTAGACAATCGTCGTAAAATTAGGCTGGGGAGGGAGGGAAGGATGTTCATAAAATGAGGTGCTGTCTTACTTGTGCCATGGCTTTTACTTATGCGCCAGCCGATGAGGAACTCGTCCGGGTTCTTTGCATTGAAGATGAGGGCAGAGGTGCCAACTTTGACGAACTGTTGTGCTGACATGCTGTCTGTATCTGAGCGTCGGGTTTTCTTGGCTGCTGATGTGAATGAGGTTTTATGATCGATTGGCTAATGGGACACTGGGTTCTGAAGTTCTGTTCTCGATATTTGTGGCCTCACTGTGGTGACTCATGCGCGAGGGAGAGAGAAAACGGGGGGTTTATACTCTACTCAGGCTAGACGAGCAATTATGTCCCAAGGCTCACTCACTCCAGCGTTAGTCCTCTGCCTGTGACCAGTAGACAAACAGCCGTATCAGTGGGTCAGAGTCTGCCTGTACAATGAAAGACACAGAGCACAAGCACGCCTTGTGAGGCCGTCCAGAAGCCGTCACACCCGCCCGTAGACTCAGCCTCTAGACAAAGACTGGCAATTGTGGGAGAGAGTCTGTTGCTTACACCATCCATCAAACAAATGGAAATACAGTCATGCCTATCATTGACCAAACGTGACCCGACCAACTGGTTGCCCACGCCACCTCCAATCATGCAGGGAGCTCACCCACAATCATCCACCCTTTCTCCTCCGTTACTCCTTGCACCAGCACCGTTTCAGATGGGCCAGTCAGCCCAACTGGATGTTATTGTTGGCAGTGTTTGTGGCCAGTTCGAGCACTAATTTAATTTAATTTAATTTATTTGTCTTCAGTTTATCTACTATAGTACCTCCTTATCTTTCCTCTTTAGCCTCCGCTATTGTGACTCTTTGTGCTGCCAATGAATCCTGTCCACCAGCACTCCGTATTCTCCCCGTTTCAGAAGCCCCCGATTATCATCGCCCACCAACATTCACCCTCTTCCAGCAAAATCATGCCAAAAGACTCCAGAAGACTCACCACCAGCCACACTCACCGCCATCATTCAACCAACGCATCAACCACCAGCCACAAAATTCAACTAACACGAGCTTCCAACAACAAGCTTGACCCAACAAGCGCAATTGATCCTGCATGCATCTCTTTGAATACTCATCGCCTTGTGGAGACATTGAAGCAAGGGCACGCAGCCAATCAGGTGCCAGCTGATCAAGAGTACATGTAAATTAGCGGATGTGCTCACAATAATAGAAGTACTGATAATCCGACTGGCTACTCACACCTATATTACCCTATAGCTACCTCACTCGCCGCAGCCTTTCAGCTCTGGCAGGCAAATTAAGATCAATTGTTTAGGCTATAGAGGTTTTGCAGGGAAACTAGGTACTGATAAATGACTTGTATACTCAAATACACTTGCTACTTATATGTATGTTCCTTTACTACCTATATCTAAGCATTTATTCAAAATGGTAGCATGGGTTGATCTTTGAAGCGTGACCCACTAGGCAGTGTACACTCAAGCAGATAAACTCACAGACGTCACTAACAACACTTTACCAAGGATACAACGCAGGTAGGACGGCTTGGTTTTTTTTTTTTTTGGGTCAATTGACAGACGTTTCTCATTTCGTTTAGCTTGGTAGGTAGAGGCGGACAGATATCACAGCCCGTCCGAGATTATCCGCAATCTGTACATGATACACTTCCTCCGCTCTTTCCCAAATCTTTTCCAAATATTTACTGTTACATCTCTCGGGGAAGACTAGCGAACCCGTCGTAGCCAAAATCCCTCGTCCATCAGCGACTTTGTCGGTTCTAAATCACCATTTTCTCTCACCCCCCCCTTCTCCGACTCTCCTCTACCACTACTCCTCTCTCAACACACTCGCTCTTTACGAGGGCTGGCCGCAGTCGCCAACGACGTTCATGTCGCACCACTGCTGGGTGATGGGCGTGCCGCGCACTCCGCGGGTGAGCATGCGCTCGCGCTGCTCGCTGAGTCGCGGGCGGGCGTCGTACTGGGTGCGGTTGTTGCCCTGGGCGTCGGTGCGGCCGGACCACCAGACCTCGGCGGCGACGCCGGCGCGGGGCCAGACGATGGTGTCGAGGGAGACGGGGTCGATGGTCTCGGTCCAGACGGCCATCTCGCCGCCGAGGACGTTGTCCTTGTACTCGTCGGGGACGCCGTCGCGGGGCTCGTACGAGTAGATGAGGCGCCAGTTCTTGATGGGGTTGCACCAGTCGTTGAAGGGGTAGTAGGTGGACCAGACGGGGGTGTCGAAGTCGAGCCACTGGCCGCGGCCGCAGTCGAGGTACTATAAGAGCTGGTTAGCTGGTGTTATACGATGAACCAATTGGGTGAGGATGACTTACGTAGTAGTTGTAGTTGGAGTCAATGACCTTCTGGCCCTTGGCGGCGATCTGGCCGACGGCGCCGTTGCCGAGCCAGGACTGGACGACGGCGTCCTTGCTCAGGGTGATGTTCCACTCGAGGGGCATCTCCTCCCAGACAAAGGGGACGAGGTTGTGCTCGGCGACCTTCTTGTGGGCGTGGTCGATGAAGCGCTGGAGGAGGGGCTGGAGGACGGTGAGGTCGTTGGTCTTGAGGGCCGGGTCGATGAGGGAGTTGTTGGCCTTGTACTCGTCGCCGCCGGTGTGGAAGTAGGCCGAGTAGGGGTTGATGCGGGGCAGGAGGTCGTCGAAGAGGGTGTCGAGGAACTCCTCGACCTTGGTGTCGTTGAGCTTGAGGGAGCCGCAGGGGGGCTGGGCGCAGTACCAGGTGTAGGGCTTCTCGTTGAAGGCGACGGACAGACCCGGGTAGGCCTGCTCGATGCCGACGTGGCCGGGCATGTCGATCTCGGTGATGATCTGGACGCCGCGGTGGACGGCGTACTCGTGGAGGTCGGCGAGCTCATCGGGGCTGTAGGTCAGGCCCTTGGAGTAGGCGCCCTTGTTGGTGAGCTCGGGGAGGGCGGGGATCTCGACGGGCCAGGACTGGGTGTCGGTGATGTGGAGGTGCAGACGGTTCATCTTGTTCATGGCGAGGCCGTCAATAGTGCGCTTGATGTCCTTGATGGTGAACCAGTGGCGGGAGACGTCGAGGAGGATACCACGGTGGGGGTACTTGGGCTTGTCCTCGATCTCGACGGGGGCGGACGCGGTGTAGTAGTGCTGGCCGTCGGAGTGCTTGTAGAACAGCTGCTGGAAGGTCTCGAGGGCGTAGAGGACACCGATGGCGGAGACGGCGGAGATGCTGGCCTTCTCGCCGTCGACGGACAGCTTGTAGGACTCATCGACGGAGCCGGCAACACCGTTCCAGGTCTTCTGGGTGTCGTTGCCGGTCTGCTTGATCTCCAGGGTCTTGATGTAGGAGCCGTTGCCAGCCTGGGGCTCGAAGCTGGAGCCGCGCTCGCGGAGCATCCAGGGGTTCAGGCCGGTCTGGAAGATGGCGCTGAAGGCACGCTCAAGACCACCCTGGACGATGGACTTGGAGTCGAACTTGGTTCCCTTGGGGTGAGTGTAGCCAACGGCGTAGGCGAGCTAGAAGTCTCGTGTTAGGTCTCACTTGGAGGCAGAGGTAGATCTGCGTAGGTGACTTACATCCTGGCCATTGTAGGTGACCTTGACGGTCTGGTCAAGGAAGAGAGTCTCCTTTCCCAGGTTGGAGCTAATGGGGATGGGCCAGATGGCATTCACAGGGCTGAGCGCCAGAGCGGCGACAGCAAGAGCTGTCTTGGGCAGCATCATGATGTACGTGTGTGGTAAGCAAGTAAGCTGTAAAAAGGTTTCAAAATGGTACTGTCAAGTAAATGAAAGACAAGGGTGAGGTGAGATATAAGTACTAGTCAGCTGAAACCCAGAGAAAGGAGAGACAATGGAAACAAAAGTATCCAAATAAGAAAAAAGGGCCAAAAGAACACTGGTGGGAGTACCAAGTGATTAAGCTGATCGGGGAACGAGGCAGTGATGGGACACGGCAGGGCTTTTATATATGTATGCACATAAGCTTAGTTGGTTGGTGTCTATCACTCCCGAGACGGGAGAGCCTGCCGACGAGCGCGCGCCAGGAGAATTTGGTTGGAGACCGGGGAACAGAGCGAACAGGGACTGGGTTCAAGCAGTTTAGTGCTACGTAACAGCCGTTGCTCTGCACCAAGCGGGCAGCTGGGCAATTGGCTGGGGCAGGGATATCCAGGTCCCAAAGTGGCAGATGGAGGGGGGCGGCCGGGGGGAGGCTCCAATGGATCGTGGTATCAAGGGACTGATGTAACAGCTCGAGAGCTTGGACGACTTTCTCGCTGCTGCGATAGGGAGGAGGATTCGGGCGGGCTCGCGCGCGTGGTTGGTTCTTGTCCGCCGGTTCTTCGTCTCGTCTCGTCTTGTCTGGGCGAGCCAAGCCCTGGATTTTGCCTACATAGGTAGGTCGGTGACTGGTTGAATAGGAAACCTGCTGCTATAGATATCGTATGGCATATATTGGAGTACTAGTCAGTATCTGCAGGCATCCAGCAAGTACCCGTACATGCACCTGACGCCCAGCTGAAAGTGAGGCCCGACGAGGCTTTGTGACGGACGAACCAGCAAAGGCTATCTCAGCCCAGCCGTGTCAGATGGGCAGCACAGAGTGAATGAATGGCCCCCTAATTCCAGACACGAAACGCTAAGGTAAACGCCCCGTCCGGCCGCAAATCGGATAACGACTGCGAGGGCGTACCGAGACATCCTCAAGGCACAGCCAGGAGATTACAGGCCGGGCGCTGGCACATGATGAGGATCTGCGCTCGGTGCGGCACTGGCAGTTGCTATTCCTGAACACACAGCCCTTGTCCCAGTCCCTTTAGCCTGCGACTATCTGCGTTTGTGGTAGTAATCGTCCCAGGAGGCTCGCCACCCCCGGCTAACCTAGACCAGGATGGCTGCTGCGAACAAGTCCAGAAGAACTGCGACGCTGCAGACTGCGCGTTTCAGATGCAGTCCAGAGGGAATCAACGAGGCCCTGGGAGAAAATCATCAATAAGGCCTGGTCTGATTCCCATCTGCCCTGAGATGCAGCTCTCACATCGCAGGGGCTGGATATGAATAGAGATTCTCATGCAAGCACTACCTTCCGTCAGCCTATATGATAGGGCGCTAAGGAAGTCCCGGACCCCAACAAGGACCGATTCGATAGTGATGTGCATTGACATGATTTCCGCCCGAATCCTATCAATCTGCACGCAACGGCAGGCCGCTTACATAGTACTGCTCCTACAGAAGGCAAATCTGGTTGACTTGAAACCAGGGGGCAATCTCAGACAGGTTTTCGCTATCCCACTGGCCTGATGTGCTTTGCCACACCTGCTGATTGGGGCTACTCCAGCGCTCACGGCACTGGCACTCTGGCTGCCGCCGTCAAGATCCTTCAAGGGGTCCTCGGCTGTTGATTTTTGCCATCGCCGGCGGCCATCGAGATGTCCGAGGAGCAGTCCCGTGCGAGCCGCTGAGCATTGCGAGTGCTCAGACCACGACTACACACAGCATGACACGCAATGAATGCATGTAATGAATCAATGAAGGGAGCTGCAGCACATGTCATTGCATGTCATTGGCAGCAGCTGGAAGAGTCTCTCAGCCCCACTGTAACCCGCCAGCCTTCTGAAGGTTACAGCGCTAGTGATCCAACCATCTCCAACTCGACTTAGAGAATGTAGCATTTGGTCTTGGTGGTTGGCCTTGGTTCGTATCTGCACTTGGCGATGTGTCGATAGGCTTCTTACCAATCGATGGTCACCGCCAGACAAACGATCCAAGTAGTACCTATAACAGCCAATGACAACTCTCCATTATCAATTGATCACGCTACCATATGCATGTGCTTGTATCCCCAGTCCAATATTAACTGCAGAGCTAAATCTATGGTAACACAAAGTCCCCTCAGCCCCTCACTTGGACTTGGCTCTCTGCACAACACACAACCACCAGCCAAACTGTGGGGAGTTCACATCGTATCGTTCGTTTCTGTGCTACTTCCAAGTTTTTCTCCCAAACGTAACCGCCCGCATGTTTCACTCACCATCCATTCCAGCCCCGATCTTGCTTGTTTGTGGCCCGTCGTGCAGCCAGCCGAAGCAGCCACTTCCAGCTTCGGCTTCGGCTCAGTCCATTCAAAACTCACTGTAACATGTACCACCGGCATCAACCGTCAGCACCGTCCCCGTGATCCAGCGCGCATCGCCTCCAGCGAGGAACCTCACTGCTGCGGCGCTGTCCCACGCATTGCCCTCGGTCTTGAGAAGGGTTCTCTCGCGGCGGGCCTCTCGACGTTCATCCGTCATCCCCTTCGAGTATACCATGGGTGTGTATATCGTTCCTGCAGTATGATTCATACATTGCAACCGTCAGCCCATCATCATCATCAAACGTGGTTGCGTTGGCAGCCTCTCGCCATGCGGGGGAGAAGCTACTTTCTCTACCACCGCACATGACGTTGAGAGCGCATACGTACCCGGACAGACAGTGTTGACCCGGATGCCATCCTGGCCGTGATCGACCGCCATGGCCCGGGTCATTTGCACCACGGCACCCTTGCTGGTCGTATACAGCAGGCCGTTCGCGCCACCCAGCAGCCCAGCCGTCGACCCCACGTTGACGATGCTACCGCGGATGCCACCATCCCCGCGCTCGTTCTCCAGCATCGCCGGCACCGCGAACTTGGCCATGAGCATCATGCTCGTTACATTGACCTCCAGCCCCTTTGCCCAGTCTGCCAATTCGGTAGTCACCGCGCTGCCCCGGGGTCCCAGGATGCCCACGTTGTTGACCAGAATGTCCAGCCTGCCCAGTTCCGCCTTGGTGCTCTGAACGACGGCCCTGCAGTCCTCGAGGCTGGAGACGTCTGCCTGCATGGCCAGCCCGCGGCCGCCGTGTTGCTTCTGGGCGTGCTCCTCACTGACCAGCGACGCCGTCTTCTCGGCGAGTGAGAGGTCTCGGTCGACGCAGACGACCGAGGCGCCGTCTTCCGCGAGGAGGATGGCGATGGCGCGCCCGCTGCCTAGCCCACCGTCAGCGCACCCGGCGCCAGTTACGATGGCAACCTTGCCGACGAGGGAGCGTGACGGGCGTGGTGGGATGCTGTTACTAGACATGATGGCTAACTAATTGAAGCGAACAGCAGCCGTAACGAATGGTCCGGTAGGAGACAGCGATGTATTTACACGGGAGGTATTATCAGAGTGAGTATTAGGCATCAAGTACGAGGTGAGTTGGAGGTGATCGGGCTCGCTTCCCTGCTCCTTTAAGTCCGGATAGATCCATGAGCTACGGTCAAGAGGGCCGGTCCTCCCCGGATACTACATGTCCGATCCCACGCTGGAACACTGAAACATGACTGGCCAAAGTCCGTCTGGTGAGAGATATGGCCAGCGTTCGATACGTAGGCGGAGATGAAATACAAGCATACATTGGCTTGCTCGCAGACTATTTAAATGGCTACGACCTCTTTATGAATACCAAGGAGGCACTGCAATGGGTAAAGCTTTGGAGGAGGGTTATAGATCCGGGGTTGTGACATCCATACTTAAGTGTGCAGAGTGCATGTTGATACTCGCTTCCGGGGTATCTCGATAATTCGGCTCAACTTGCTTCTCTGATTTTGAGCGAGAGGGTTCTCTAAGCGAACCCTGATAGTCGAGAGTAACCATTTCCACGTAGCTGTCGGTAACGTTCCACTTGTCGCTCTCCGCTACGGGCAGAATATTGGATCAATACTGTGATTAGTGCCATACCGCGTGACCTCGTGTATCTGGAGGGGTTACAGGGGTCAAAGAACTCGAGGGCTGATAACAATAGAAGCTTGGTGGGGAGTATCGAAAGTTTGGGCCGTCTGGCCTCGTTTCCAGACGAGAAGAGTTCGGTGTTGCTCGCGTGATCTTGAGGGTGGTATCTGTGTACGTCTGGGGTGATTGGGACAACAGGAACTGATATAACAACAGAAAGAAGTTGGGCATGGCCATTGCAATCACATCCGCCGTTGCTGTGACCGAAACATACTCACCTAGCAAGCACGCTCAAGTAAAGACGGGCAAGCATCCATAGTGGCTATAAGCAGCCTTGCGCTTCGTCACACAGTAATTGAGGATTCAGCATATTTGACTTCTTTGATCATTCTGCCTAACATTAGAACATGCTGCTTGAGTTGATGTAGTGTAATGGTCTACTAACCTCGTAGAGTATAATATTACGTGCCGACATGGCACAGCCCTTAGGTACAGCACGTCGGCGCTTTGGTCTCTCTTCTTTTAGTCCACCCAGCCTGATCAATCCTTTTATTTTCTTTTGTTGACATCGCGCTTGTAAATCGGCACTTTTTGGGGGGGCCCAAAGCTCTCTCGTTCATTCTTCACGCTCTTCACGCTCCTCGCGCTCCTTAGCCTCGGGGCTTCTGCTGCGACTCCTTCTCCGTGCTCGGCTGGCCCTGTTTCCCTTGCCCTGTCCGGGTGGAGGGCGCACGAACGCGAAGTCGACCTTTACGGTCTGGTCCAGCAGCTTGGTCTCGTGAGCGTTGTCGATGGCCGCGCGCGCCTCCTCAAGAGTCGCGTATTCTATCAGAGCGTAGCCCTGAGCATCCCCAGTTCTGGTAAGTTTTCTGCGCGATCGAACATCCCGGGCTTTGAGGGCGGGTTGGAGGGGTCAGTGGCAGATGCCTTACCTTGACGTAACCGCTTCGACGGTCCAGGTTCAGATGCATGTTCTTGATCTCGCCAAACTCTCCAAACTTGTCTTGCAGGCTCTCCTCGTCGGCCTCCTCGTGGACGTTGGTGACGACGATGATCCAGCCTTCGATGGAGCGGACGGCCGTGGCCTTGGTATGAGTCTGCATTTCGGACTCGTTGCGGGCGGCGGGCGGCGAGCCTGCGCCGGTATCTTCCATTTCTACGTCCGCCATGGCTGTGTGCGCTTGCGGGATGGCCTGAGTAGGAAGAAGTAGTGAATTTGGAGCGGTATGGTTGTTTGTCATTCAAGAATGCTTGGATAGAGCTTGACCTGAGTCTCGGTTGCACAGTGGGTGAAGGTCACGTGATGAGCCAAAGTTGGCCGGCTGATGGAACTTGGCCGTCTTTCGAGATTTCGAGTCTACGCGTTCACGTACGTGGTAATTAATGGGCAATTACGGTCATTGTTACAGTAGAATGATCGCAAGATATTAGGGTGTGTACAATCAGGTAGAAATTCGGCGGACATAACTTCACAAGGCACTTAAGTGCAAATTCCAACGAGAGACAGTCGCGGACGAATGGTTGAGTTTATTGACGAACGACACCTGACGCCGAGTAGGGCCACCGCCGCTTCTTCGCACTTCCTTCTCATCAGAGAGGGTGCTCGGCTGGCGCATTGGGCCTGACCTATTCCATCCTTACTGCCACTAAATTCGCAATGCAGTCCTGGCAGCGTCGCGCCTAACGATGGCAACCTGGATAGCCCTCCATATCTTTCCTTGGTCGGGGATGATTTGCTTAAGAGCCAGGGTTGGGGTTCATCTGCAGAGATATTTGTTAGAATTCTGGTTGGCGATGGGCCTATGGCCGGGTCAGGCGATCTCACTCGTCTCTTTCCGCCAGTCAGGGTAACGTTAACGAAACGGCGGGTGTACTTGAGGCGCTTGAGAGCACGACCCTTGGGGGTCTTCTGCTTCTCCTGGGCCTCGACCTGTGATGGGAGAAAATCTTGTCAGCTGCTGTTCGGGCGTCGGAAGTCGTGGAAGTTTATCGTGGGTTGTGCGGTCGTACCTTGGGGGTCTGAGACTTGACCTTTCCTGCAGAAATAGTTAGCAATGTGTTTCCGCGAGTGAAGGGTTTATTGATTCAGCATACCGGCACGAGCGAGAGATCCGTGAACTTTGCCCATTTTGATGGATTTGTTGTACTGATGATGTGGGTGGTGAGTCTACAACGTGGATTGTCAGGAATTTTGGTAGTTTCGCTATGGTTGTGTGTGGGAGATCGATTCACGTGAGCGGGGACACTAAATTTGCCCTTGTCCACTCGGGAAATCTTTTCGCCGCCACTCGCCGATTGAGTCACTCACCGGACGCTTATGTAACGCTTTTCCTGGTTGATGTTGGCGTGCTTCTCAGAATTGTCTGGGTTACCGCTGTCCAAAGCGAAATACCTTGATTTACCAGCCAATGTAAATGGGGGGAAGGCTGATACTTATATTTCTGTGTGGCAATAAGCTTGAGTCATAGTGAGGCATCGGCGAACTATTCGCTTTCTTCAAGCCATCTCGTTACTCCCAGCCAATCGTCCCTCACCAGTTGCGCCAGGCATTCCAGCCTTAGTCAGCCACATAACAGAGAAGGAACGCCACTAGATTCTTCAAGCCTGCCAATTATCTGAACCGGCAGGAGTTTAGTCAGGGAAACACCGTTCTCTCGTTAGACGACTTCGATGTGCAATTGGGACATGCTGCTTGCTTCCAAACGACTTCATGTTTCTGTTTCACGTTGTCGCGCATTTCGGACAAGCCTTTGAGCCGAGTTGCCGATGCTTTTCACATGAAATACGTCAACGTCAACTACGTCATAGACGCTAACACATCTTCCTGCAAAAGTTGAGCACGCGACCCGCAATCGCCAACGGTCAGATCGATCGGAAATGTCAAGATGTATCGCAATATATAGGTGTAAACCCGGTTTTGATTTATTACCTGTATCCTCCTCCAATTTTCCCCATGTTGTGACATACGAGTCTTGTTCTTGAATACCACAGTGACAATGGAGATTCCTGCCGAGATTGAACTGCCCAAACCACCTGTAGTACCGCCCAAGACACTACGCGACAGATTCACACATCGGCTTCCGACATATACTGGACCCTACAATGTTGGTTATATGGACATTGAAGTCCCAGCCCGAGACCCCCGGCCAGTCTCTGAACTGAAACGACACGGAAAGCCTGTCATTCGTCTGGACACCGTCCTGATGGGCATCTACTATCCTTCCGAGCTGCGGAACGACCTTAAGACGCCAGATGGTCGAAATACCCTCCACCGAGTGAATTGGATGCCCCGGCCACGGATAGCTACGGCTAAGGGCTATGCCAAATGGATGAATTTGCCTTGGCTCCCAGTAGCTGGTTATCTTGCCTCTACTTCTCTCTTCACCAAACTACCCGCGTTTCGAAATGCCAAGGTTGCAGACTATTGGCCCGATCATAAGAGGAGCAGCGAAGACTCCAAGCGGGGAGAAGATCCAAAACACAACGACAAACCAGATACCGACAAGCCAGACACCGACAAGCCAGACACCGACAAGCCAGACACCGACAAGCCAGACACCGACAAGCCCACGTTTCCTGTCATAATATTCTCCCATGGGCTGGGAGGCTCAAGATTATGTTATAGTACGATATGCGGAGAGCTTGCTAGTTTGGGTTTTGTGGTTGTAGCTGTGGAACACAGAGATGGAAGTGGCGCGCGCACACATGTCAGCTTGCCGGGCGATATCGAGGCCAACGAGATAGAATCCTCGACGGCCGTTCTTTACAACCACAGCGACGACACATCGCCGGGTGGGGAGCGCAAGCATGTTCGGAGGCGAAGGAAGAAGGAGTTGAACCCATATTATGTTGTCGACTACATCTTACCTAAGGACAATGCTCAAGACACAGCACCTCACAACCCCCGAGGGGTAGACCGGAAGCTGCGGTCAGCTCAGATCCAACTCCGCCTTGAGGAGATCAAGGAGGCGTTCCACGTTCTTGGGATGATAAATGGAGGGCAAGGAGACGAAGTCGCAGCCATGAACCTTCGGAAAAAGGGAAATATCGGATCGAGTTCGATAGGGCTGACTGGTGTTGAGTGGGACACCTGGAAGGACCGAATGTTCCTCGAGAATGTCACAGTCATGGGCCATTCCTTTGGTGGCGCAACAACTGTCCAAGTACTTCGGGATGACTCACTGTCATGGGTTGGACAAGGCATAGTCCTTGATATTTGGGGCCAAGGGACCCCACCGGGAGGAGAAACGCCGAATAATACGGTCAAAAAGCCTCTACTCTCCATTTCATCCGAGGCATTCATGCATTGGAAAGCGAACTTTGAGCGAGTTGTGGACATCTGTAATGAGACTCGTGGATCCGGTGCCCTCTGCTGGATGATGACTATTGTTGGCTCAACGCATCTGACAATGTCTGATTTTGCTATCCTCTACCCTCACTGGATGTCTCTTTTTACAAAGACAATGGTCAACCCGATTCGGGCTCTATTTCTTTGCGTCTCACCATCACTTGAATTTCTCAAAATCGTGCTTCCCTCAGAGCAGACAGAGAATACCGCCTGGCCTAATGATGAGAAGCTCCTCATCTCGGAAGACCCTCCATCGGAACCAGAAGAGGTATTATTGCCAGATCATGCTCCTGAACACAAGTGGGTAGCCATGAGGCTGCGAATCCAGAATGAGTTCTGGGTGAGGCTCCGGGCATGGTGTCGAGTTCTCAAACGTAGGATACTCCGTCAGGTTTCTAGTGAAGCTGAATTTATTAAAGGCCTCCAAGACTTAAGCGCGCACACGGAAGAGATGTGGACTCATATTTGTCCTAGCCCTGGGGATGTCGAGCGATATTCAGGGCGAGCAAAGTCCTGAATTTGACTGTTTCTTTTTCTCAATTCAGTATGTTCATTTCCAAACAAGAGCGATGTTTTTTTTATAGATAGGATACCAATTTTGTAAAGAGTTTTGTATAATAGAAAAGGCCTAGATCAATGAACCTTCCGGTCTCAATATACCTTAGCAAATCTTCCCCAGCTCATATCATCACAAGCGCGGACTCGCTGAAAAGAGTGATAACTAGTGCCAGTAACATCAGTTACCTGCTATTTCCATGGCCTCTACCCCAGCTGATGTGATGACCTCTCTTTCTTTTCTTTGTCACTCAAAGAAATTACAGCAAGTCTAGCACGAAGTTTCCTTAGCTGGGCATCAGTCTTTTTCCAACATGCTAGTGAGGAAAGGAAAATGTACCTTTAATCAAGGGTATTTCTTCCCTCACGAACCGTCCTTATCTTCGTTTGCTCTTTTAGTCGGCAGAAAGAACACAGACCCGCCCATTTTTCCCTATGTATCAAAGGTTATTCCAATGGTACTTGTGCAGAGAACCAGAGAATCCTTGCAACAAGAGTATTTCCCTTGAGAATAGTATGCCCATCAATAGTCCGTCCTTTTCCATCCACCGAACAAGTGCCGCTGATAATTCACAAAAGGGCCCGGTTGTCAAATTCCCTCTAATATGTCTGGGAAGCTGAAGACCCCATTGTTTGAAGCCTAGCTTTAGGATTGGGCAAAGCGCTCAATTGGCTTGGTTCCTGCCTGTATCGCAGTTTATCCCTCCACATCCTGACAGAGTATGTGTGCCACACGGCCAAGCTCACTTAGAGCATGGCTCATTTCTGTGAGCGCACTGCCAAGCCGTATCTAGTCTTTTTAAAATTTGCAATCATGTTTCTTACATATACTTATTGAATGGCCATCTGACCACCGTGATTGTATTTTGACGTGGCAGTTCTTGATTGGTCTACACAACCTGATTTGCATGTCTTTCTGCATAACGGCCTGTTAGGCCTCCACCGATAGCCTTCCCCTTCCGCCAATGTCGAACTGCGCCGCCGTCTTAAACGTATTCTCACATAACTCCCGTGATTTCATTTTTAGAGCAGTAATAGTACCTACTGTACTACGAGACGTTGAATATATAAGGAGAGAAGGTGCTTCTACAGAAAAGGATGTAACACACTGAGCCAACCATCCACAACAACAACAGCACAGACAAACCTCTAACGCCATTCAACATGGGCTCTACTTCTGCGTCCTCGATATACCAGCCGTTGAGTGAAGATCGAACTATTCGACTACTTCATTTGCTCCCAGGCCAAAGAGACGATCATTTGGTGGGATCGCTCGAGCAGACATATCTAAATTCTAACACAAAGTACGAAGCATTATCATACGAATGGGGTCCACCTCAGAGAACGCACCAAATCTCTCTCACCAACGGAGCCTCCATTAGGATCACTCAGTCTCTTTTCAACGCCCTTAAAGATCTCAGACCCTTTGGAAGACGCCCAGCCCCCCGACTTATTTGGGCGGACGGGGTATGTATCAACCAGGATGACGTCGAGGAACGCCAGCGGCAGGTGTCTATCATGGGTAGCATATACCGTACTGCGGCCCGGGTCGTCGTTTACATAGGCCCAGAGTCCGAGGATAGCTCAATGGCAATTGATTTTGCTCTAGAGCTCCTAAGATTTGCGAAAGAGTCTCCCTATAAATCGGATGCAAGACTCCATCTGCCCGATCAGGTACAAAATCTTGGTCTACCTTCCACACTTCATCCTTGCTGGCAGGCACTCAAATTTCTTCTTCTCAGAGGATGGGCTTCAAGATGTTGGTGCGCTCATGAATTTTTGATGAACCCAAATACGGTAATCATGTGTGGACGAAAAACCGTGCAATACGCGAAGTTTCTACCTGACATTGTTCACTCAGCCACATATCGAGAGTTACCAATATTCACTGTACCAAGCAATGAGGAGGATGCAAACAGTCTAAGAGAATGTCATAACAAGATGGGCCGTCTTCGACAGCGGGTTGCGATACAGAATGGAAAATTAACCCTTGATGTTTTACTCCGTGAAGGTCACCCATTCCTGGCTTCAGACCCGAGGGATAAAGTATACTCCATGCTTAGCTTTGCACAAGACCGGGCGTGTTACGACATACATGTGGACTACACCTGCACGGTAGCTTCTTTATTCATTACAGTTGCTGGTCAAATTATTCAGGTGTCCAATTCGCTTGAGTTATTGTCTAGTAACCTACCGAATAAAGCCATAGAATTGCCTTCCTGGGTACCGGATTGGTCAACTTGGAAGTACGGTAGCCATGGAAACGCATTTGAGGGTGACTATATGGCCTGTGGCGATACAACCACAAATGCCATCGTGGACGATTCGAGTAATAGCCTAATCGCAGCGGGATGCATCGCAGATGAAATAACTTGGGTCGACGACGTTAGCATAGGATCAGCTTTTAACCTCCTTCGCACAAACGGCCGCCGCGACTGGCTCTTGAAGATGGAAAAAGAGGTAACAAGACTACAGCAATACCATCCTTCCATGGACGATGATGTACTTTGGAGAACTCTGGTAGGCAACTTCACGGACACAGAGACGCCAGCTCCAAGTTCATATAAGTCGAATTATCTTTCTCAACTTAATTTCACGGAAGGGAGTCCAATATGGATGCAACAGCTAGGTCAGAAATTCTGCGATGCTGCAAGAAGGAAGTCTCGTTATCGCCGGCTCTGCAAAACTGCAAAGGGTTATTTGGGGGCAGTTGTGGAAACAGCACGACCTGGCGACTATATATGTATGCTAGAGGGAAGCCGGTCTCTTCATGTCATTCGTCCTGCAGGGCTCGATTACGCTTTTATCGGGCCTGCCTATGTACACGGGCTTATGTATGGAGAGTTGTTGAAACTGCCCTCATATAGTCGAAGTACGATTACGCTTGTATGAGTTTTCGTCCGAGAAAAGTAAGTTATATGAATACTCTCAAGAGTAACAATATATTGAAAAGGAAATTTTCCAATTGATAGCATTGTTATCGCTTTTTTCAATATACGATATATCCGCTTCCTGTTATGCGTGTAAACCCACGGGAGAATCATGTGGCCTTGTTGCAAGTAAAATATTACTACTGTAATCTTAGTTTTTCTATAAGACGTGCTCGGGGATTACGCGCACCAATAACATTAGCCTCTGTTCGATTGTGACTCTCTGTATATCAGGAGGTTGTTTATGTAGTAGCATGATTGTATTTACCTTCCATCCCATCGTGGGTTGAGTTAAGCAATGAACGTTTGAACCATAACATAACCATACATAATACGACTATCTTCATAATCAGCAGTGACAGTTCGACGAGCCATGTTGATGCATTTCAGCGTTTGCAAAGGCTCCAGGGTAAGTATCCATAATGAAGTTCGGCGGGATGCCCTTGCTTCATAACTTCGTGCTTCAGGGTTGATGGTTTGAACAGGAAATATCTCTATCACGGGAATAATAATATAACCTAAATCTTCCGTCTTAGTTGGGTTAGCAATGCACTGTTGAGCTCAAGTAAGTCGCTTAACGAGGTTCGTTGCTCTGTAAACTCGCTTGTTTGATGTTTGAGCAAGCGATTCATCGTCTGCAGCATTACTTTTTGTCGAAATACACATACTGTGCATTGAAAACTCGCGGAAAACCTCATAAAACTATGACCTTCTGCCAAGGCTGGACGAGAGAGACCTTGGGATCCTGACCAGCCCTTAAACCTGTACAGATTAGGCACACCTCGACCATATCCTTGATACTTTTCTCAATGAGATAGTCGTAAAACGTGAATTAATATAATCTTTTCTGTGGAGAAAATCAAATAATTTGCCGTATCTATGCCTCAAAACTGATTGGTGGAGTTACTGGACTGTGTCTACGCTGAGCTCTCTACCCCAAGCCCATCATTTCCTCTGACTTAGTGAGTCTTCTGAAAGTCTGTAGTCTCGATGAATGCCGGCAAAGGTTGACAAACTGCCAATTACAAGTGCTGCACAGTATCTGCTGGCTTCTATTACGAGGCCCATCGCCAATTGACAAACTCGAGCAAAAGAGGCTTAAGACTCAATAGAATGAGAGTCAGGAGACGAATATCGACGGCGGAAATGAAATGAGAGTTGTCGGTTATGTGGGGATGGCGTATTGAGCCCATCTGCGAGCTACCGAGCGAAGCTGGAAGATTGGTGGCGTTGATCAGCCACAGAATACCAGTTCTTGGGCCTCGGCGCATCCTGGGACTTCCACCGTTGTTAAGGGGCTACACACTTTTGCCTGGCTCACGATAGCACTGGAATGTTGGGGAGAGTTTCTGTTTTGCGTGCGAGACGCTTGTTAGATTGGAGCTTCGCCTAGTGGATTCTCTTGGGAAGCTTGGCACAACTACCGTCAATTAGACGATGGGTTTCCGCCATAGTCGCTCTCTCCTTTCCAGCCGCGGATGAACAGACGGAATTCTCCATGCGACGTAGGATTTTGACTGAGCTTTGAAATTTGAATGTTTCAGAGAAGCCCGCAGCTGTCGAGGCAGTCCGCCTTGGAGCATACCCAAGAGGGGATATCCTCACTGGGAGGCACTTTTGTGTGACCGCTCGGAAACATGTTGGCGCAGGGCTTCAGGGCAGAGGACGGAAGTGGCTCAAGATGATGCAAGACCTCACTCATACATGTCTTATTTTAAATATAGGAATGCAATAAGACCACAGCGTAGTACCAGCCATTTATTGTACTTAAAAACCCGCTATTGCTACTACCTAAATGTTAAATTAGGTGCTTGTATGGAGTTCTGTAATAAAATGGAGCAGTTGCATATTGGGCAACCTCTGGCGAGCTATGCATGTCTTGGCCTCGTCTTATAGATTCATAAATATAATATTACTCACCGGCGGCTGAACAGGCAGCAATTAATTGTTAGGCCAATTAAACTACGTTGCATCACCCTGCGTCAAGAGGGGTCTGGGTTTGCTGCGGAAGAGGTCCAACCGCCCTGCTCAGCTGACGATAGAGGCAGTTTCGCCGTGTTGCTTTGGCTCACCCGGCAGCCCTCAATAGCCTGCCAATGGCGAACGGGAATGAGGTTCGTTTGGGAAAGAGACGGTCAGCGCTGGAAGAAGCAAAGAGGAGTCAATGGGGTTAAGCTCTCCCGCAGGTCTGAGACAGATGTAACGGGGACTGAGCGGGTTGATTCAGCGTTGTTGGGGGAGGGCAGAGGGAGATCAGCATGGCAACACCCCCTTCAGGCCCCGGCCCAATCAGAAGTGCAATGCAGGAGGTTGTTGGGCAAGCTTTGTGGCACATTCCATCGAATTTCGACTTGGCTGTCAGACATTGGCGGGGAGCCTGGGACGGGAGCCGAAGTTGGCGGCGAGGCTGAATGTCGTCATGGCTGATGCCGGCGAGCTACTACGGGCACCAGATCTGTTTCAGGGTTGCGCAAAGATGCTATTCCTGATCCCCGCCGCGGACGAATTCCATGAGAAGGTGATGCTTGCGAGCACCCTTGATATGCGTTCGAGAGAGAGCGGAAGGAACCTTTGCTGGGGGCAGGGGTCACGACGCGTGTTTGTAGGGATTGCCACGATCAGATCTATTCAGGCGACATGGGTGCATGGCATCCGCGGGCAAAACCGAGGATTTTCAAATGGCCTTGCAGCAGCTTACCTGAGCTCGGAGGTTGGTCAGCTTCGGCCAGGCTGGAACTTCGGGGGAATATTTTTCGTGTGTTCTAGCCTCTGCGCTCACTCCCGAGGCTCCCCCACTCGGGCGAAATCCCAGCTTGGGATAGAGGAGGCCACCAAGGGTCCCTGCCGTAGATCGATAAGAGCTGAACCATCTACCAAGCAGTGATGGGTTTGAAGTCAACCTCAGAAGGGTTATGCGTGTCAGAGGCTCCCCAGAGAATGGACCCAGAAACTGGGCTCGTATTCTGCCCAACGCATCTAGGGTGGTTAATTGGGCGGTGTGTCGATGCGGATATGGCACAATGCGAACGGACTTGAGAAAACAGGGTTGGGCCCTCTCAGCTCCATGCATAACCTGGGTGGTTGTCATCCGATTGCCAGATACGAGCATGCAGACGGCGTTGCATCATGTCATGTCAGCCATTGAAACTGACGTACATGTTGATGAAGTGACATCCGCCGGCACAATGGCAATGGCGTGTTTTCCGCCTGTGAGCATTATATCCTATATCCGGGCGGTGTTGGTTCCGCGGGGTTGTCATTGTCCTGGCACAGCACAATGTGCACATCTTACATACATGCACGCACCTCAGCATCCGCATACTATATGTCGTGCTAGGCAAACCTAATGTGCCGCTGGCTGCCATGACGAGCTGAGAAGCGCAGAGCAGCTGTGGCTTTGACGGGTGCCAGCGCATCCAAGTTGTCAGACGCGGGCTGCCACTAGCCACGGCCTGCTGCAGGCGTGCTGATCAATGTCGTGGGTTGGACATGAACGTGCCGGAGTGCCTCTGCCCCTGGGCTTGGGATTGACTAGTCGAGGCGTGCAGCGATAGCTGGCCTGTTTGGGGTAGCTCTGAGCCTAGTTGGTCAAGAAGCAATTCGCATCAACGAGTCAGCGCCGTCCTCCTGACGTGATGTGATGCGGTGCAAGCGACGAGTTCTGCTAGCAGCCGACTTGTTTCTGTGGTGCTGCACCATTGATCCGTCAAAACGGGCCGCCAAGGCCTGGCATAGGGTGAATACGATGCCCACCACGAGCCTTATACGGGGACTATGGCGGTAGAGTGTGGTGCTAGGCCGCCTAAGCGACAGCGATAGGGCCCTCTGGCGGTGGCAGCTAGCGCAGAGATCTCCTCCAAACCTCGTATTGGCGGCAGCTTGTGCAGCAACCCCCATCCTTGCCTGTGCAACGAAATCGCATTTCTTGGTGCTGATGCCCTGGTTTCCGCTCCCTTTAATCTTATGCTTCTGTTTGCGATTGTTTTGCTCGTCGCGCTCGGCACCCGATACTTGTGCATCCCTCATTCTTTGAAACTCGCCGTCGTCTTTTTCTCCTTGTCAACCACCCGCCAAACCGACCTCACCCGGGGGGCCGTCATAACGGTTTTTGATTGCCTCTCCAGCCACCTTGGCTGATCTCGGACTAGCGACGTCAGTCTGTTTGATTACCATACGGGAGCTAGTCGCTCGCTTTCCACTCCTCTGGGGCTGCGACGCTGCTTCTGGGGATCTTTCAGCAGTCATTTTGGCCCAAGACCGCCAATCACGCACGGCTAATTTTGGCCTTACCGGACGTCCCAAGCCCTTTCAGCCGGCAAATCCTGGCTGGCGGCTTGAGCTGGCCTGCAGAGCGCGCGCCTACTTTATTGCTAGTCCCTGGCTCGATCAGCACAGGCGCCACCGGAATTGCGTCTTGCTGGGCGCTTCCTAGCCATCCGCGGCCTCAGCTTACAGCATCTCTCCCATTCGGAACGCCCACAACGCTCGATCCCGTATTCCAGCTGTCTCAGCTTCAGGGCAGGGGGATCCGGAGCGGGCCAAGCGTCCCGGCGAATGCCCCTGACCACCAGTGGGGGGAATTGGGCTAGACCTGAAGGCTGGAGCTCTGCGACTTCCACGCCCGACCGATCCGGAGGGGTAAAAGAATAGAAGAGGGTCTGGAAATCGGGATCCGCCTTCGCCTGAGACCCAGAGTGGCCGACAGCCCTTCAGAGCGGACGGGGTGCGAGGGCTAATACGACCACGACCATTCTTCCGTTCTCGTATGCACTCTATGTGGGACATTGCTGCGTGGCAGCCCCATAGACCATGGCGACGACTACAGCTACTGCCACTGCTACTGCGACCACTACGACCACTACGATGACCACTATGACCACTACGACGACCACAATGCTAGCGACCAACAAGCGCCAGCAGAAGCAGCACCGGCGGGATGCCCAGACCCGGCCAGCCCGCTCCAACAGCCTCCAGCGCATGCTCGAGCTGGAGAAGCAGTGTGTAGTAAGTGGGCTCTCGCTTTGCCTTGTCTTTCCCTACCCAATCCTGTCTTGTCTTGCCTTGCCCGTTTGCCCTGTCTGGCTTTGTCTTGTTTTGCCTCTTCCTCAGCCCCGGCCCAACCCGCTTTGCCTGCCTGCAATTCATTACATTCTTTCCATCTATCGATCTGCGGTCATCACGCTTTCCATATCGGTACCCCCAGTCCCCCGTCCATTCCCAGCAAAAACCCAAACACCCCCGTCCGGCCAAGCTTCCAGCCCAGAAAAGCCAAGCCTGGACGCCCAGGGCATGGCATCGATGCGTGCATCTGGCTGGTCGTTTCCAAAAGAATGGAACATCTCGGTCAACACCGCCTTTCCCATCACGATATGATCATCCGATCCGCACACGCCCCCCCTTCGCCATGCTATGTACGCTTGCCAATGCTTGACCTCGCCAACTGGCCTCACCATTCTCATCATTCCTCTCATTCCGTCCCGAAATGCTGACTCGTCTCCTTCTCTTCCAATTGCATAGCTAGAACGACGGCACGCTGTCCGTGCTTCGCCCACCTCGCCCAAGATGATGCAGCCCCCCTCGAGCACGCCGATGCTGCCTGCTCCTCGGCCAACAACAACCCACTCCCGCCAATACTCGGCGGAGCAGCGCAAGCACTTCCTTGAAGAATCCGTGTCTGGGCAGCTGAAAATGCAGCAATCGAGGCCAGCGCCTCTCAAAATTAGTACCCATGTCAAGGGCGCTACACCTCACACTAACACCACTAGTACCACCGCCAGTACCGATTTTAAATCAGATCTACCGGCTCCATATAGTCCCTCCACCGTCCACTCCAAGACTAAGGCCAGGCCCAAGGGGCAAGCGCAAGTCCAAGTGCAGACCATCAGTTTGAGTTCTTCTACTGGCATGCTGCCCCAGCCGAATAAACTTGCTACTGCTCCCAAGACGGTCACCTTCCACGAGCAGCCTCTGACCTCCAACCCCAGCACCGTCATTGCTGCTGCCGCTCTTGCAGAGGACCGGAACTCTATCTGCCAGTCGCCTAGTTGGGAGGCGTACGCCAGACGCAAGAAGGAAAAGAAGCAGGGCAAGGAGCAGATCGACAAGGAGACCAAGCCTAACTCGAAGACGAAGCCACCGCGCCCTAGCAAGTTGTCGCATTCCCATTCAGCATCGGAGCCAACCTTGCCCCTCCAGCAACCTGCCCAGACCAGGACTGTCAAGTTTGAAGAGCGGCCGGAGGATACTAACAAAGCTCGCCGTGCCAGTACCATCGGCATCCCCGCCAAGCAAACTCTCCCTTCGCCAGCAGCACTTGACTCCAAACCGCCTCAAACTCGACGGATCCGGTCCAACTCTCTCTCTTCCATCTTCAGGTCACCCTTCGAGTCCCACCGACCGTCACTTGATAGCAATAGCGGCGGTTTTATTGGAGGCATTAAGCTCGAGCACCAGCGCCTTGTTGCGTACCAGCGAGCTCTTAACGAGGAAGCAATTGGTGCCAGCGGCGACATCCATCCAGCGTTTAGAAAACACACAAAGCGCTCATCCAGCCCTCTCAGGTTCCTTGTTCCCAAGACTGGGCCTAAGGAAGCACAAGATCGGGCCTATCCGCCGATCTCAATACGCACATCCGCCACGGCCCAGGGTCTCTTGCCTCAGAACTCCGACGCAATGCCCGAAGGTCGAATGAGCCGTTGGAGGGCTCATTTCGGTCTACGATCTGAGCCCAAGCCACAAACGCTAAACAAATCCCCATCCACAGAGCGTGATCAAAACTTGGGCACCGTCTTCTCTCATCGGAATGCGTCCTCGCCAGCCATCCACCCACCACCCTCGGACCAGATGAGGTACAGCCCTAGTATGGCTCAGATGAATGGAACGGACAAGCCTGCTGCGTCACCTGCAAGCTCTCAGCAACTGGCCCCCGCAGTGCCCAACGCAGCGCGGGCGTCGTCTCCCTTAGCACGGAGTATCAACAACGAATTGGACGATTCCCACTCCGAGATAGATAGTCCTCCGTCCTTCACTACCGCCCCGCCGTCGCCGCCTTCTCCCCAGAAAGTTTCAAAGAGAGATTCGATGGCGAGCTTGAACATTACAGACACCCCTGGAACAGAATCGCCCCGTCCAATGGCTCCCCGCCGTGCACAAACTGGATTTCCAACAGATTCCGAGAGATATGTGGGCGACTCTGCCACGCGCGCTCGCAGCGCCAGTCGGACCAAGAGGTCTGATCCTCCAAGCATTCCTTATATCGCTACCGAAGGCACAACTTCCAAGCGACCTGCCAGTCGTGGTCTCTTCGAAGCTGCTCGGTCTGTTCTAGGACGATCCGCACATCCTCCTCTACCGCCAAACCCTACCTTGCTTACTACGTCGCAGAGTCGCCCTACAAGTCGACACAAGAACTCTCCCTACCTTACTGCTTCCTCCAAGGATCACGAAATGCGGTCGGCTTCCTTCTCCAACTTCCAGACACTGCACAACCCGAAGCGGATCAACGACCGCCGGAAGACCATGACAACCGCCGCACCTGCTCCCAATTCCTCCGCGGACTCCTATTCAGATGACTTGCGCTCCTCCTCTGTGGCGGCAGGCACTCCTGACACCTCCCGGCCAGGGTCAGGGAGAGTTGATGGCTTCGATCACGTCGCCGAGGCGCGGGCAGCGCTTGAGCGCCCCCATTCCCCGGCCTTTTCAACAAGTGGCGCAAGTGCGGTTGATCTGAACCCCGTTCAATCCGCTGCTATGAAGGTCTTGGCCGCGTTCCCTGACCTTCCTCCGCCCACTCGCCCCGGCATGGGTCGACGCACCGAGTCGGTGTCCAGTGTTCAATCAGTTCTCCTCCCAAGGATCAAGCAGCAGAATGGACAGCAAAAGGAGACCAACAAGGCTAAATCGATCAAGGCATCCAAATCAAAGGCCGATGACAAAAATGCGCCGGCACTCCGCGACTTGATCATGTCCAAGGATGAATCTTCGGCTGCAGCCCCTTGGCCTGCATCGTATCTGGAGGCTGCGCGCAAAGCCGCGCCAGTTAAAGAGTCCAAGACGCCACCCAAGATGCCTGGATCACCAGCGCTGTCAGCACCGCCAGTACCACCAGCAGCGGTTGTTCCCTCTCCCATCCCGTCTGCTCCACCCAGTGTGAAGGCAACCTCGCCACCAACATCACGCAAATCTTCTGATTCATCCCCGGGAGGTGCAAGACTCAATGGCGAGCCTGTTGCGAAGATGCTGGTCCAGTGCTGCTACTGCAAGTGCTATCATGATATGCCAAGTAACTTGTACGCGGCGATGAATGACCCCGAAGCTATCCTAGACTTGGAAGAGCATAACGAATTTGCTGGATCTATCTCCATGTCCATTAAGTGCCCATGGTGCAAACATGACATGAATACCAAGTGCTGCGCTGGCTATGCAACAATCCTCCATGTCCAAGAGAGATTACATTAATCTCTGTACGCTATCTATCATCTATATGCTCTCCTGACCTGCCTGGCAAGACTGCCGATTTCCTGGCATCTAACTCACTTTGAGTGAGCTTTCTTTTGTCTCTCCACTGCCCTAAAATACGTCACTAGTACGCGGACCTGTACATTCGCTCATTTAATTAATGACATGACTGGTGGTTGCGGCATCTAATCTGGTCGCGAAATCTCCACCCTTTTGCTTCTTTCTATGCGTCTTGACGATGGATCTCATAGGGTCTTACGACTTTGATAATGGCTTTTTCATTTCATTTTCTTCTCTTGCATATGGCGAACTGGAAAATCATTCAAACATAACCTCAAGGTTGTTGGTCTTGGTTTTATTTTCTCCTCGAGTTAAAGTTGCGAGTATGCCACCTTGACAACTCTACCGAGGATTTCTCTCTTTAAAGGCTGTATATCTAACAAATTTGTAATGGCTACTTTGCCCCCGGACAAAAAAATACACATTATTATGATAGAACACTCGTTGTACACAAATACCTGCTCATTTTGTTCCAATTGTGACGTGATGCTACCGCACAAGAGGAAAACGGTAGAGTCTAATAGTCGGTCTTCATGATCTAAAACTAAGTCCTTGCGTACTTGACATCGTAGTCCCTTCTTAATAGGCACCTTTCCTCTCCTCCCACTCCGGCGCAGGGGTCAGTTCGATATCCCCGAACCCAGACTCCGTTACCATGGACACATGCCACCCCATCCCCTCGAGCTTCGCCCCCCCTTCCTCCATCGCCCAGAGCGTGATGGCGAGGGTGTTGGTCCCGTGGTGGTTGAGAATCCCCTCGGGGACGGGGTACCTCGCCTGCGGGCCGATATGAGGCACGAACTTGCCGAACTGGAAGCCGTTGACGAAGAGCTGGAGGCGGAACTTGCCTTGTGCGACGCCCGTGCCGAACTTGAAGGAGAGAGGGATGTCGTAGCCCCTCGGCAGGTCGAGGTCGAAGGACGTGGTGTAGAAGGTGATTCCCGGCGCGGTGACGGGGTCGGTCGGGCGGCCGGTCTCCCAGTTTGATGAGGGGGGTGAGGGCTGGTGGAAGCCCTGGCGCTCGGCGTACATCCCTCCTTCGTTCAGGGGCCCGCGGGAGAGGTCGACGTAGTCCTCGCCGCCGAGGTTACCTGCTGCCTTCCAGGTGATATCGGAGGCGGGGTGGCCCGCGAGGGAGTAGGAGAGGATGCCGCGCGGGGTCTTGAGGTTGTCTTCGCCTATTACGTAGTTGCCGTTGAGGCCCATGTGGTCGATGACGACGGTGATGACCTGGTCGGAGCCCGGGGCCAGGTCGGCGGGCAGGTCTGCCTTGATGGTGCCGTTGAAGACGTTGGTCTCGCCGGTCCAGGAGGCGAGGAAGTGGGAGCCGAGCCAGGCGGAGAAGCCGAAGGCGTGGCCGCCCTGGGCTGTGATGGTGATGGATGACTCGTCGCCGTTGGCCTTGAAGTGGCCCCGGAAGAGGACGGTGCCGGCGTGGAAGCCGTAGTCGCCCGCGTAGAGGGAGACGGGGGTGTCGAGGGGCCGGAGGTCGTTGGGGGAGGTGGTGTAGTTGGCGTCGACCCAGCTATTGTCGTCGTAGTCCGGGGACAACTCGGGCAGGGAGTCGATCTTCTTCCACTCGAGCTGGCTGAGGCAGGGGAGGGAGAACTCGGGCTTGGAGAACTCGACGGTGGCGGTGACGACGCCCTGGGGGTTTTGGTCGAAGCTGAGGGACCGGCCGTTGAACTTGAGCTCTTCGAGGCCGGCGGGGGCGCCTCCGATGATCTCGATGGGGGTGGTGGCGTTGACGTCGCCGATGAGGCTGAGTGACTTGCCGTCCTTTTGGGCTGTGCGGATGAGGTAGCCGGCTTTGAGGATGATGTCTGAGGTGCCGAAGTCGGTGCCTGAACCGGTGGGAGGAACCCAGAAGTTATATGCTTCGTTGCGGTCTGAGGAGAAAGGAGTCTGGTTAGCATAAGGAAGTGGGACAACAGGTTACTGCGACTGACTGAGGAGATAGATGTAGAAGTCTCCTTGGACTAGGGCGACGTTTCGATCTTTGACATTGTCCGAGATAGCCCAAGAGAGAATTGTGTAGCCCTTGTCGGAGGTCTGGACCTTGACATCGCCGCTCTGCACTTCCACATCCTCTTTCTTGATCTCTGTTTCACCTGCAATGGCAATCTCGTGGTACTCATTGGGCCCGCCGTATAATACTAAGACGGTCTTGTCATCGTATTTCTTCCTACAGAGCTGTTAGAAACGGCCAAGTAGAAGCGATAAGTGAATTTCTAGATTTACGCACCATGTAAAGACCTCGGCGGACGAATATATGAGCTTCTTGTCTCCAACGGGGTAATCGCTAACGTGGATTTTGGAGTCACGGCGGTTCATAATGAGACTGTCACCAAGCTGGGGGATTTCAATGTCTCCGTAATCGACTGTCTTGACCTTGAGACGGTATGGAACTGACTCTGTCGTCTCATACTCTGTATGCCTATTACGAGTATTAGAAATGTCAACTGGCCCGGTCCAACCGTTCTATTCTTACCTAGAGATGTAAAACTTGGTAGTGTTGGTCGTAGCAGGTGTGACAGTTATGGCATCGGTATTCGTGTATTCCAGGGATGAGTTGAAGCGGTCTGCCTCAAGATAGGCAGGCGAGACATGGAAGAAGTGTGCCTGAAGCTTGACCTCGCTGTACTTCTCCCGCCATAGTTGACGCTCTTCAGTAATTTGGGCACCGTAGTCATAGGATGTGAAGCCCTCAGCATGTCCTAGGTTGCCCCAGTTCGTGCCACCATACGTCTAAGCGAGTTAGTCTCTAAAGGATCACAGCTGGGAAGAACTTTGAGAAAATTCAGAGACATACCATGTAGATGTTGAAAATGGTTGCACCGACAGCGTAGTTGTTCTTATAGACTACACGCTCGAACTCCATGTTGAGCAGAGAAGCACATTGTTCAAACCCGGCCGTTTGGCCCCAGTGTTGGAAGCCGCCTCCTTGAAACTGACTATCTGTGAGCAAAGATCAACACTATTTCGAAAAGGATCCTATGGGCTTACCTCGGGGATTGTGTAGGGAGAATCAGGTGCCAAGGCATCGTTCGTGGCTAGCCAGTTGGTGGGCAGTTTGCCTGCTGGCCAGACGTCCGGATTGTCACAGTCGAATCCAAGCGGGTACGAGTCATGCCCGTAGATATCTACGCTGGCGGGCGTGTGAGCAGTAATATATCCATACATGTGAGCCTCATTGTTGAAATACGGAACGTCAACTCCGGCTTTCTTGTACTGATTGGTCACACTGCTCCAATAATCGTACTCTGGCATAGGATAAGGGGCGATGGCGTTTTGATACTCGTTTTCGGGTTGTAGGAGAATGACAGGCCCGCCATTATTGATTTGAGCGGCGGCAATGACCTTGCCAATCTCGCTTGTATAAAGATCTGTGGCACTAATGAAGGCGTCGGAATTGGTACGAAGTGCTCCTGGGACACGGGTCAACCAGCCTGGAAATCCACCCCCAGACACTTCGGCGTTGATGTACGGCCCGGGGCGGGCAATGACATAGAGACCGGCCTTCTTGGCGGCCTCAAAGAAGGTATCATAGGCAAAGATCCCTTTGGAGCGAAATTCACCCTGTTTGCCTTCCAAGAGAAACCAGTCGATGTAGATGGAGACGGCACTGTACCCGGATGCTTTGATCTTCTGGAGGATGTCGAGCCATAGGCCAGTGACTGGTAGGCGGAATGGATGGACCTCGCCACTGAATATCATAAGACGTTCGCCGTTGATCAAGAGACTGTGGTCATCAAAGGTGACAACATTTTGCTCTCTTTTCTGGATATTCTGGGGATCCGAACCGATTGCTCTCGCAGATAAGACACTCGCTAGTCCAAGACATAGCGAGAGGGTATGAAGTGGTTTTGAGATCAACATCCTGTTAAACTTGTCCACATTAAGTATATGTGTTGAGGCTCGACAATCGGTTCATCTACGAGCTTAGGAGACTTGAGAACAAACCACATATATACTCGATCAATCTAAGAAAGGCCATGTCTAATTTCTACTTCTTTTGATAAAGATATATGCATATTTTTGCCAAGGGTAAACCAAGCCATCGTTGCCGTGTTAGTTGCACATCCACCTGCTCTATCCCCTGCCCAAAAATTCAGGGAATATATGATTGCGTCTCACTGGCTCGGTAGTGGGGGAAAATGTCTAGAATTTTGGCTGATTTGAGGTTTCTCCGCACGCGGAGCTTGGAAATACGACGCTGGACGCCGAGCCTGCAGCATTGGGTAGGATTGATCCTTGTCGGCTACGGAACCGATCATCACACACAGCGTAAACTCTTGCCAAGGGGGCTTTATTACTCACTTAACTCTACGATCCGGGCTTTGGTTGGTAGCCCAAAATAGTAAGTCAACAATCCCCTGTCTCGCAGTTGGCCTTTAGCCTACGACGGCTTGCATTTAGAGTAGAAATTATTCCGTCCACATATTACTCTCATTAAAAAAATAAAATTTCGAAAAGAAACCACCTATGGGGGGAACTTTGGCTAGTGTTTGTTGGGATGATTTTATGGTATTGGTGACGGGAGAGATAAATGTTACGTATTCTGTGAGTGGACGCTGGTGGTATGCAAAACACTTCCAATGTCACTCTTCGTCGTATTCAAGGCTTCAACCAGTCATGTCTCACCAAGATGGTACCTTAATCTATGCTCCTACTCTTTTGAGTTTGGATGATGTATTCATTGCATAGTTATCTCTATAATTGATCTATGATATAGCCGACGCTTTTCTTACCCCTGGCGATTGGATTGGATTAGATGACGCCCTCATCTTCTCGGATCGCCACAATATTATCTTGAATCACCACAACGATATTCTTATTCTGAATATCCAGTGTATGCTTGCCTTCTTGCGAAACAGAACACCCAACCATTTCTCGCTTGTGTTACTCCATCTATACCTAGCCGAGATGACAGTGTTGACTCTGCTAATTGTCACTCCTGCCTAATCAAGCCAAGATAGGATCTTAAGGTACGGTTGCTTTCCTAAGGCCTCCGATGGAGAGGCGAGGACGTATGCCCTTATGTCAGATCCGCCCTGGCGTGCTCCCTCACCATTCACCATATAACAGCCACGACGAATGCAGTAGCAAAAGCAACAAAAAAAGTAGAAATTTCAGATTTTCAACAAGATGCATTCCACGAAGTGTTTTCATCCTCAAGGCTTAAACTTCAAGATATTCTTGGATGTGGTCTAGAGGTGTCTGATGATCTCCCAAGATATGGTCGGACATAACAAGAGGTTTTCTAGACTAGAAGAAGTGAGAATAGCATTGCCCATACCCACCGTAAAATAAATTCATTCATATGCCTTGTGGTTGGTCGAGGTTTGCAAGCGTATAACAGAACTCGAAAGGCTTCGTTATAGGCGTGTCTTTGTGTTTTATCCATGGTATAGGCAGCACACAAAATACGGGAACTAGCGAGAGGGTGAGAATTGCCTACGAAGAAAAGCTGTCTGGCAACATATTCGGAGCTATGTGAGTTTTATACGTTCTGAATAGAGGGAGGGCGGCAAAGCCTTGATCCCGTCAAGGGTACGACCGAGTGTATTGGAGTTAGCAGTACTGCACGCACTGGGGATTTCTAGGGGCTTGAAACCCATGCCAAAGGTACCCAAGACAGACCAAGTCATTCCAAAGGGCTAGGAACTGAAACATGGGTCGCCCAGCCCATACTCATTGGCGGGAGGCTCACGTGATAGAATTGACATGTTGAGCTGGCCTCAGCTGTGCTAACTGGAGGGATTGGAACCTGTATTAGTGCTGTGTTCCTGTCAGCCAGTTCGATAGCGGAAGCTTGACCGCTGTGGGCCAGGAACGGCGGCTGGCGATTAGGGGCACAGGGAGCTAAAAGGACCCGCCCGCCGGAACCCTGCCGCTGGAACAAGCACCCGCGAGAGTGGCACAGGCCCCTGCTCAGTAGCGCGCATGGGCGATTAATCCAGGTAGTTGAATGAGACCTCATTTGTTCCTCCTGCATCTCTCCCCGGAGGGTATCTTGTCCCGAATCATGAATTCAGAGAGAATCCCATCTCCTGCCTGCTTACCGTCGGCTGCCCGTGATGTGAGGGGCGCCTGCATGTGGTCTGCTTATATTGTAGCCGCCGTGCTATAACACCAGCCAACAATGCGGAATTGTCACATCACTTGTGTGCGGCGGAACTTCGGCCAAGACTTCCCTTCCCTCCCGAGCGGCCGCTCCATGAAGAAATTCACTGCTCAAGCCTCCATTCTGGGCAAGGTCGGCAAGATAGAGTAGGTCGATCCGAAAGCCCAGGAAATCATTGGCCCATTCTTAGCTGGCTGGTCCCTTTTCTAATACCTACCTGTTTGGACCGACCCATTTCCATCAAGAGCGTCATTCGATCAATACCGCCAACCTCCCAGGAGGGGGTCCCCAACTACCTACCCCAAAGCTGCGCGGTCTCCCTGCTGGCCCTTCTTTCCTTCTTCACCATTGACAGCTGTGCGAAGACCTGCACTTCCATCACCATCCTCCCGAGTATCCCCAGAGAGGTGCATGTTACCAGCCCAGCAGCAGGAGGCCGTAGCAAGCCATGTCGTCCTCGCAGCCCAAGCAGGCCCAGACCGAGCCCCAGCCCAAGAGAGAGATGAAGGTCCTGTGCCTGGGCCTCCCGCGGACGGGCTCGACCTCGATCGCTGAGGCCCTCACCATCCTCGGCTACCAGAACGTCCACCACTGCAGCAAGGCGGCCAAGGACGACTGGCGCGTCCTCAACCGCGCGGCCGACGCCACCTTCGCCTGCCTGCCCGGCTACACGGGCGTGCCCTTCACCCGCGAGGAGTGGGACGAGCTGTACGGGCCCTGCGAGGCCACCACCGACGCCGCCTCCATGTTCGGGCCCCAGCTCATCGCCGCGTACCCGGAGGCCAAGGTCCTGCTCGTCGAGCGCAACTACGAGCGCTGGCACCGCAGCGTCTTCGGCAGCCTGTTCCCCCTGGTGTGGAACCCCGTCGTCAACTTCTCCGTCGGCACCCTCGAGCCGCTCATCGGGTCCGACGCCGGCAAGGCGACCCGCAAGATGATCCTCGGGCTGTTTGGCGCGCGCACGCCGGACGAGGCGCGCCGCAACGCCCGGGAGACGTACCTCGCCCACCCGAGGCGGATCCGCGAGCTGGTCCCGCCGGGTCAGCTGCTCGAGTACCGGCTGGGCGACGGGTGGGAGCCGCTCTGCGAGTTCCTGGGCAAGGAGGTGCCGGACGTCGAGTTCCCCTGGCTGAACGAGGCCGACATGCTCAAGAGGATAGCGTGGGACATCGTGAGGCAGAACTTCTACCAGGCGGCGTGGAAGGTGCTGCCATGGGTTGTCGGAGTTGGTGCGGTGGGCGGAGGGCTGTGGACGCTGATACGCAGGAATTGATAGATGCTGGGGGGGGGAGGTCAGGCCACGGGTGTACTATGTTCATATCTTGTATAAACACTACTACGGGGGGTCCGATGTCTTGTGTAGGCGCTGGCGTTTGGCAAAGAAAGGGTCATTTCAGCTTTACGAGGATTTATTATATTATGGCTTAGTCTACTACTTTTGAACACGAATCAGATACGAATTCAGCTTGCTTCATTGGGGCATCACATGGTTTTTATTGATTATTGGGGTGCGATCTTAAGCTCTGGTTGGCTGGGGGCCAAGAGTAAGGCTGAGCAAGGCAGGCAAAATTCCGTCCCAACTCAGCTGGTCTCTGGAAGGAATCGTCGGAGGATCATACCGATCGTACCCCCACATGACGAAAGATGACTGCACATTTTGCTGTATTTCTCATCAAGCTACAAACCCCTCCTCGTCTCACGGAGCTTTCAGTCCAGCGTCGTAGTTGAGCTTCGCCCCCACAATGGGACGGAGCCTATAGCTGCCTTGGCTGGAAGTCGCGAGTCGCCACACAGACTTCGATTCGATCTAAAAAAGCCAAGGGATCAGTGATCCAAGATCCCCTGAAAGCTTGCGTGCACAGCCCGGGCCGTGGGGAGCGAGCATCAGGGCAGATCAGGGGTGGTTTGGCCGCGGGCGGAAGTCATCAACGTCATGGGGGCCCACGCCACCGGCGATTGACCTCCAGCCAATGACGTAGAATGACATCCCGAACCTGATCCCAAGCACCTTGGGGTGTAGTTCGGCAGCGTTTAAGCTTAAAACTGCTCTATTTTCATACTATCTTCGGCTTCTTCCAGGGCACTGATGGAGAAGTGATGTATCTGGTGGGGGTGATCTGGCGATTGGATCCATCGATGACGAGCGATGAAGTAAGATGGCACAGCAGCTATGAGAGATATACGTGAAGATTGCACAATGGCTGGCTGGTAGTGGTTTCGAAGATGGCATGAAGCAAGTATATATAACACCTAGAGTCTCGGATTGTAATTCTTTATCTTACTCGAACACTACATCTCACTTGTAACACTCTTCACCTAAACCTACAATCTACTTTACGACTCATTAACACAATGGCTTCACTTCTGAACAAGCTCACGGGCTCGAACAAGACTCATCACACTGAGAACATGCAGCCCACATCCACCACCACCGCTCCTCATCGAGAGAACCTCCACGAAGGTAACCTCCGCGAAGAGCCCAGGTATCAGGAGAACGTCTACGAGAACAATGTTGGCCGAACCGGTCATGGCAGACATGACCTGGGCCACGAGAACTTGAGGCGAGATGAAATTCCTGTCCAGAACAGCATCCCTCATGGGAACGTCGGCACAACCGGCCACGGCAGACACAACTTGGCCTCTGACAACTTGGGGCGACATGAGGCTCCTATTCATAACAATGTTCCTCACCAGGGCCACGCCACAGCCGGGACTGGCCACGTCCACAATGGCTACGAGAACAACGTTGGCCGAACCACCCATGGCCTCGGTCACGAGAACTTGAGGCAAAACGAGGTTCCCATCCAGGGCCACAATGCCTACGAGAACAACGTTGGTCGAACCAACCATGGTCTCGGTCATGAGAATTTGAGACAAAATGAAGTTCCAGTCCAGAGCAACATCCGCCATGAGAACATGGGCACAACCGGCCACGGCAGACACGACTTGGCTTCTGACAACTTGAGGCGGCATGACGTCCCGGCTCAGGGCAACATTCGTCATGAGAATGTCCACCCAACTGATCACGCCAGACACGATATGGCCTCGAACGGCCTGGGGCGACATGATATCCCTGCTCAGAGCGGCCATCACAGCCATCACGCCGGCACCATCAAGACCGGCCCTGTCCACAACAGCGAGATGCTGAACAAGCTCGACCCCCGCGTTCACGAGTACAAGGACAGGTCTGCAGCCGATCACTCATTGTAAGTAGCAAAACAAAATGAATCCGAGAAAATGAGTCGACTGGTTACTAACCGGTCATATTCAGGACTGGCACGACACACGGTCAAGTGCCTCTGGATGCCGCCCGGGTGCCCCCTTCAGTGATGCAGGAGCATTTGGGTCCCCCAACCATTGAGCACGACTTTCCTCACGACAGCAAGCACAAGAGACACTCCATCAGCCACCAGGAGGCTCACATGATGCGATAAATGTAAAAAAAGGTTATGAAAATGGCATGTAATGTACATTATTGATTTTGGAGGATATATAATCAACCATTATGATGATTGGAAATATATGACGAACAGATATATGACAAATAAACCTTGACAAAGGAATATATGCACAGACCGATGAGATCAAATATTGGAGAGTATAAACATCATGAAGTGTGACATGTGAGTCAGCTCGTATATTGCGACTGGATTCCCTCCCTGGCGACAGTGAGCTGCCCGAGGTATCAACGCCGTGCAGAATTTGTGGAAGGGCCTTATAGACCTTAAGTACGGTGATGACAAAAAAGGCCATAGTTGGTACATGCCAAATCTTGAAACATGAATAATGCGTGAAGATATCGAAACGGGGGGTGAAGGTGAGGATACAACATCTCTCCCTACGGCGCAGGCGTCGTCTCACAGCTCCGGGTAGATACCAGGCTCCGTCTATGCACAATCCCGGGGCTGTACCTCGACAAATTCCCGACCCAGTGTGGTGGGAATCAGTTGGAACGACTCATGTCAGGAGCGGGGCTTGGGCATATTTATGGAACACAAGCCATCCGGTTAAAAAGCCAGCACTAGCTATTCTGCATGGCGATAGAGTGCACGATACTAGCTTGATAAAATTATTTGAGAGGAGCCCCGGAGAGTGAGCAGTTGGGAGCTCCCCTTTCCCCTCTTTGAAGCGTTGCTACCCGCATTGCAAGGTTACACCCAAACCGGCTGCAGGTAACCGGCTGCCAGCATCAATGCGCGCCTGATGTGTTATGTACATAATAAATGGCATTCGCCATTGGAACGGCAAAAGCTAGACGAGAGAAAAAGAAAGCAAGCGCCCGATCGATGGCTGGCTCATCGGCCGGTGCAATGTCGACCGCTCCAACGAGCCGGATCGAAGTCACCCCTCCAAACGAGCTATCTGATTGGATTGGCCCTTCACCGTGTGTCGGCGAAGTCCCCGACAGCGTCCAAACCCCCCCATTTCGCTATCAGGAACCCGCTGAAAAGGTCAGAAATCTCGAGATGCTCGCGGGTTGGCGGCTGCTCCACCTGCTTTCGAGGAGCTCCTATTGGGCCGGGTAATGAGCCTGGCTAAATCGGAGCTCTCTCGTACAGCGGCCCGTTCTAAAGTCAACGACTGGCAGGCCCTGGAAAGTCTCAACCGCGTCACAAGACCAAGCTCGTGGGGTAGCTCATTAGCTGTACTTACATAGGTACAGAGAGAGACTTCAGAACGTGTCGTGTAGATGAGACTCGGACGTAGATAATGGAGGAGGGGTGCTACATAAGCCGACGAGTCCCTCCCCTCCTCTGCTTGGATCACTCTTCTTCCCCTTTCATTTTCTTCTTCTCTTGTAGTAACGTGCTAATCCAATTGCCGACTCTTGTACAATTGTAATCCTGCCCCTCCTCCCACGTCACCACCACCTCGATCCACCAACATCACCGACACAATGGCGTCCCTCAACAAGGAAGAGCTCAGCGTATGAGATTCACACCCGAATTACTGTTTTCTCAGGGATTTCGTGCAAGGGTGACAGGCTAACATTCTTTCTCTTTTCTTTCTGTCTTGCAGAACCTCTCCTTCGTGCTCAAGAAGCCCCTCGAGGTCGCATTCGAGGACCGCCCCAAGCCCTCCCTCGCCTCCCCCCACGATGTCCTCGTCGCCGTCAACTACACGGGCATCTGCGGCTCCGACGTCCACTACTGGCTCCACGGCGCCATCGGCCACTTCGTAGTCAAGGACCCCATGGTCCTGGGCCACGAATCCGCCGGCACCGTCGTCGAGGTCGGCGACGCCGTCAAGACCCTCGCCGTCGGTGACAAGGTCGCCCTCGAGCCCGGCTACCCCTGCCGCCGGTGCGCTCCCTGCCTGGCCGGCAAGTACAACCTCTGCCCCGAGATGGCCTTCGCCGCCACGCCCCCCTACGACGGCACCCTCACCGGCCTCTGGTCCTCGCCCGCCGACTTCTGCTACAAGCTCCCCGCCGCCGTCTCCCTCCAGGAGGGCGCGCTGATCGAGCCCCTCGCCGTCGCCGTCCACATCGTCCGCCAGGCCTCCGTCACGCCCGGCCAGTCCGTCGTCGTCATGGGCGCGGGGCCCGTCGGCCTGCTCTGCGCCGCCGTCGCCAGGGCCCACGGCGCCTCCACCGTCGTCAGCGTCGACATCGTCCAGTCCAAGCTCGACTTCGCCGCCGGCTTCGCGGCCACCCACACGTACGCCTCGCAGCGCATCCCGGCCGCCGACAACGCCAAGGCCATCCGCGAGCTGGCCGGCTTTCCCGACGGCGTCGACGTGGTCATCGACGCCAGCGGCGCCGAGCCGTCCATCCAGGCGGCCATCCACACCGTCCGCATGGGCGGCACGTACGTGCAGGGCGGCATGGGCAAGCCCGACATCACCTTCCCCATCATGGCCATGTGCCTCAAGGAGGTGACGGTCAAGGGCTCGTTCCGCTACGGGCCCGGCGACTACAGGCTGGCCGTGGACCTCGTGGCCGCGGGCAAGGTGGACGTCAAGAAGCTCGTCACCAGCGTGGTGAGCTTCGGCCAGGCCGAGGAGGCCTTTAAGAAGGTCAAGGAGGGCGAGGCCATCAAGGTGCTCATCGCCGGCCCCAACGAGAAGATCTAGAGGGGATCCATCGCTCTATCAACCATTATATATCAACATCTTACCGTGGATAGTTACGGGTATTGGTCTTCTTTGTCTTTTTTTGTGTTCAAGGGAAATTGCATTCGGGGCGGGATCTATTTTTCGTGTCTATCTTGAGAGAAGGGCACGGCAAGCAACTGGAAAAGGAGGTGTGTTAGCGACGGCGTATACGAATTATGCGGTGGTGGCGGCGGCGATGGCAGGCTGATGCAGGTGCGACATCATGGAGCCAGATCGAGACCGAGCTGATTTATATCGAAAATATATTATTGACTGCTGCATATGACATGTCGATGTCTCTGTGCGTCTTAGCTGTAGCTGCATAGGTATAGTAAGCCTGGAGGTTGTATCGGGCAGCATGGGGCGGATTGATTCCTCCGACTCGCCTCCAGATTCTGAATCTGGCCGTGCGCGCACAGATCACACATTCATTCATTGACTCCGTGCTCGCTCTCAAGCCTCGACCAGATGCGAAGTGCAAAGATCTGCACCCCACCTGCTTCAAGGGGACCCGTCCGTAGGGCTTTCTCGCCTTTGGAGGAGTGTCAATTGTTAAGCGGAATCTGCCATTTTTTGGGGCCGCTACTCTGGCTGGAAATAGCCCGTCTGCGGTGGAGATTAGGGGGCTTGCTGGTAATTACAGCAGCAGCCACGGCGGGTGCCTGCTTTTAGGCGTGTGTAAATTGAAATTGGATGACGAGGGGACAAGGGCTGCGGGCAATATTCCGCACCTCCCAGTCAGATCGGCAGCAATGGTTTCACCGTTCCCACACACTCGCATGGTCCAGGTAGATCCCACGGGCGGCAGTGAGCGAGACCGGCGGTGCTTTGATGGAAAAGTCGAGTCCTCTTCCAGACCTCAATGCTCCGAGCTTTGGTCGCCAGATTGAGTTCACTTATCGCCACGTTTGTCCTGGCTTAGCTGCCGGCAGCAAAGATAGATGAGGGCTTGACCTATTCCAGGCAGTTTACACAACTATCATGCAACTACCTCTTTCCAGACTTCAGCCCGACTCTCGGTGACAGCCCCGATACCCCTGGAGACAGAAACACAACCCACACCCGTCACAGTGTCGCAGTTGAGTCAGTCTATTGCCATCCTGCGTGGGTCTGTCCAACGCTCAGCGGTTGCATTGCCTTGCAGATAGTTGACCGGCCGCCTGTGCATCAGCCCTCGGCCCTGCGCTCATCCGCACAAGGCATCAAGCAAAAACGCCTAGGCCCAAGTTCAACCGCCAGGACCCTCCCATCGATGAGGGCACTAGCGATCACTAGTCTCCAGTCTGTACGTTCCTGCGGCATCCTGGCGCCGTTCCAGCGGTAACTGTATTCGATGCGCCTCTGAGCATGGAATTATCCATCGTTCGCTTCACACGCCACAGGAGAACGAGCCGTGGATATGGCGACCCGCCGGGCATGAAGTTTAAAGCCAGTCAGCCAGTCACGAGTCACTAGCTCGGCTGCAGCTGAAGCAGCTATCCACGCTTTTGGGAGACGGACGCTCACCGTGGGCGCACCGCTGGGTATCGGTCGAGGATGAGACATGGAAAGGCGATCCAGCCCTCGTTATCAAGCTGCGGAGTTAAGAGCTGGGGGCAAAACATCTGCCGAGCAGTGCAAGTCGAGACCGGCCGCCGCAAAAGGAAATTCTTGTTCCCCAGCCCATGACAGCGCAACACGCGCTCCCCAATTCCCAACGAGCAGGGGGGCTTGTCAGGCATCACCCTAGATCAAGTGGGCTCAACCGCAGTGCGGCTGAACTTCGAAGCAACGCGGAGAGTAAACTGAACGCTTTGGGAGAGCGGCAGGCCTCAGACAATGCCTCCCATCTCCGCCCGAGCGCATCCCATCTGCTCCAGTCCATGCTGCAATAGTCCCTAGCGGCTGAAAATCTGCCTTGGGCCCTCCTCTGGGCTGTCCCATCCATTGGCCTGCGTCCTTGGTCCGTATCGGATCTCAGGCTCTCGGCTGCTCCCATGACCTGGGTCTGGATTTCTTTATTAATGCCATGGCGTCCCCTCTAATGCAGTGATGCACCAGTGGCTTGCTTTGTTGTGTCGATCTTCCTATTTAATATAGAACGGACTCTGCCCTTCCCCTCCCCGTCCTTCTCTCCATCCTTATAGGCAGCTAGCTGGACATCCAATTCCTTGTGCACTATACTCTACAGCAACAAACAAGATGGAGAACGGACCCCAGATTCTGGAGACGCCGATCTGGCTCCTCGGAGCTCGCATTGCTCAGGCTGTGCTCGCCCTCATTATTATGGCCATGGCTGGTGTGCTCATGCACGGTGCCTACTTAGACGTGCATGGCCTCTGCGTAGCCACTGTAAGTCGAAACCGCGATGAAGCTGTTTACCAGCACATTGGATCAATGCTAACTACGTCTATTCCAGGGCCTGTTCACCTGGATCGTCGTCGCTTACAACATCCTGAGTGAGAAGCTCCCTGCGCTTCACAAGCTCTACAATGTCATCGCCGTCATTGCCCTCGACGGTTTCATGATGATCCTGTGGCTCGCTACCTTCGCCGCCACTGCTGCCAAGCGCGCAAGCTTTATTTACAACGTCAATGTCAACTCATGCTACAACGACGGCAGCCTCATCAACTCGACCACTTGCGCCAAGCGCTCCCTTGTTACCCGTGCCACTCTTCTCTTCAAGGGCGGCCAGGCCATGATGTCCGCTAACGCTGGTCTCGGCGCCCTTGTCTGGTATGCACTTCTCAAAGAAAACTCTTCCATAATCAAAAGCTAACTTAAGCCCATTATAGGCTTCTCTTCATTGCCACCTTCACCTGGACCATGGTCTTCTTCTTCAAGGGCCGCAAGGAGGGCCGCTTCCTCTTCGACACCGAGGCCCCCGCCCTCCAGATGGAGACCAAGAACCAGCCCCAGGCCGCTTCTGAGGTCCATCCCGTCCCCGTCCAGCAGCCCCTCCAGCCCCAGCAGACCGGCGGCTACGAGAAGAACGACTTTCAGACACAGCAGACCGCCTACCAAGCTCCCACCAGCTACCCTCCCCAGGGCCAGTATCCTCAGCAGCCCTACCAGCCCACCATTAGCCCCCAGCCGACACCGTCGCCCGCACCCGCCGGCTACCCAGCCCAGGAGCTCTACGGCCAGCAGCATCAGCAGGGCTACTACCCTCCTCAGAGCAGTGAGCTGTCCGCCGCTGAGGGACAGAACCCCTACTACCCTGCGCAATCGCCTCCTCCCCAGCAGTACCAGTACCCTCCTCATCCTCCTCCGCAGTAATTGATAGAGCAGGAGTTGAGGAGCGACGAGAGGGAGGGATGGGGAAGTGAGAGGATGGGAAAAACACAGTCACGACCATATACATACACTACCGGGGCCAGAGGAGTCTTTATGAGTTTGAGCCATGCGACTTCTTTTTTTGATACCAGTCCTTTTTGATGTCGAATATCTATTAATAGTACATGATAGCAAAATTTAAAAAAAAGCTATAATTCAATCCTTTGTGTCCGTGATACATGTGTATGTATGTCTATTGGTGTAAGTGGTGTAAGTCAAGGGTTATGGCCGGCTCACGGTGAGATCACTTGGCCCGTAGCTATCATATTAGCTGGAAGGTTTTGTCGCTTGTGAAGTTATGGCTTCAACTCTCTATATCATATTTTTCAGGAACTGGAAGCATGGATACGAGCGAGGTGCGGTATCAAGCTGATATCGTTTGACCAGGGACGGAATTTCTGGCTTGCTCCAGATCACTCCACATCCCAGCAGGGTCCTCACTTGTACCCGAGCCTCTTCGGAAGACAGCACCGGCCAAGGGTTCAATTGCTGGCCCACTGCACTGTTACAACCAGTTTCGATGAATTTTCGACATGCTCTCTTAAACAGGGGTCATCATGTCCACGTATTCGTACCCAAAATTCAGTCGCAACTTGAATGTGACTTACACGAAGTAGAGGATACTGTCCCTCAAACCGAAACCAACAGACCGGGTCGTGATCGACCATTGGCTCAGATCCCTGGCTTGCATGCCAAAACATAAAACAGATCCATTAGCAACACAGAACGTGTCCAAGTGGCATGTTCACCCGGCAATTGTCGAACTGCCTCGAAACAGCCAAACAGGCCAGTGGAGTCACTCGCAATAATGTGATGGGCCGATTGTGAGCAAGATACTCCACAACGGGAAGGCGGTCAGCGTTCTGCCGTGCTTCTTTGGGGCGGGCGATCATTCAAAGCTCACCACCAAGCTCTCCAGCCTCAACCACCACCACGACACCGTTCCTCAATTCACCATCTTACGCAACGCCCGCTCTCGGTCCCCCAGCGACGGCTCGCAGCCCTCAATCGTCGCTGCTCTCCCCCGCCCCTACAGTGCCGAACCCGTCATTGGCCTACCGAGCCCACCCCTCGGCCGCAATGGCCTCCAACGATGCTCCACAGCGCCTCGGCGTCCCGTCTCGGAATCCCCTCCCTCTCTCCGCCTCCCAGGAATCACAAGTCAGAGACATCTACTACGCCCGAGTACGAAAGCTGTGCTCGGACGAGATCAAGGGTATGCGAAAGCTAGATCCCTCCATCCCTCTCGCCCGTTAGTGATCAAGAAAGCTTTTGCTGACAATGGAGTCGTCGATCTACAGCCTTTGCGGACTGCGCCCTCGGCCGCACCTTCACCGTCTCCTTCCAGTGCCGCGACCAGCACCGCGAGATGAACTCGTGCCTGACGCGGTTCGCGACGCCGGCCGAGCACGACGCCGCGCGGGAGGAGTGGTTCGCCATGCGGCTGGAGCGCCAGCGCGAGAGGGAGCGCAAGGCCCGCATGGCCGCCGCCCAGGAGGAGTTTCTGCGCGAGTGGTGGGCCCTGCCGGAGGAGGTGAGGCTCTCGAGGCCGAAGCCGGAGGGGATCGAGAGCAGGCCCGAGAGGGTGGGCGGGATGCCGGCCGCGCAGGCCTCGTCGTCGAGTAGCAGCGGGCGGTAAATGGCGGCCTACGTTGTTAGGGATG